CGAGAGTTCAATCATCAAACTTTTTTTGTTCATAACTTTTTTATAAACAATGAGCGACGGATAAAACCTTCATATTATTATTCAGAGAGGTGACCTTGATAACATATGTCAAAATTGTTGAGATCGGAAAATAGTCCGTATAACTGCATAATTACCTTATCTTTTTACTACATTGACAATAAATTATATATAAGTTGAAATCTCTTCAATTGTGTTTTTAAATATGTTTGAAACGTTGACCTACAAATAATCTTGATTACACATGTTTAGATAGTATTACAAAATGTGTTTTGTAACATTGATGTTTAATTAATGTGTGTAATATAAAAGTAATTAATTAATAGTTTTTTTTTTATCATTACAGTCTATTTTCCGTAAATAACGCGTTTCTTTTAAATTTTCTTCCACAAATCTGAATTAAAATATTTCAGTTTTGTCTCTGTTTTGTTAGGGTTCAATTTCACCCATGTAGATTTGCTTATCGCTAGATCCCGAACATACTGAAAAAAAAAAAAGATAAATTTTATATAAATTTATATTTCCATTAAAATATGAGAAAGAAAGATTGTAGCGCGTGTATTTGTTCTGCAAATTGTGTGTCTCATACTTATTGGTTCCTTCGGATGGAAATCAACGTCGTTCACAGATCCGTTGTGGCCAGGCAGTTTATACAATATCCTACGACTAGTAGTATCCCAGACATAATGAAATCGATCTGACGATCCCGCCGATACCTTACTGCCATCTGGAGACCATGCGCATCTCAAAAGATTCTAAAAAAAAACACATCAATTACTGATGCATCGCCAACTTACTTTCAATCATTATACATTGCAATTTAGATGTTTTATATAAAAGATACCTTTTCGAAATTATGCGAATGCCCGGTCAGTATCTTCACGCAGCGTTCGTAAGGTGCAAACGGCCTCACATCCCATATCCTCAAAGTATTGTCCATTGAATTGGAAAGTATGTACGATCCGTCAGGACTGAGACTCAATCCTGTTACGGTGTCGGTGTGTCCTTTTAGTTTGTAAAGTATCGCATTTTTTCGAAGATCCCAGACTTTTATATCGTTGTCAATACCTCCGCTGATTATTTGTTCCGCTGTATCGTTGAACGTCACCGCGGTCACCTGAAATCAACGGAGATAGATTAATCACTTTCCATCTGTTGCATTATTGAAAAAACGAAAACAACAAACTAATTTTTCACCTGATATGTGTTATTCAGTACGTAACATTGACACTTTCTCCTGGCGTCCCAAATACGTATCGTGCTGTCGTCGCCGCCAGAACAAAGCAGCGGAGGTCCTCTTCGCGCGCCTGACACGGTATTTACAAAGGAAGTGTGTCCCTTCAATTTCTTAATTCGCGTTCCGCGCCACAAGTCCCACAAACTGACCGTCTCGTCCGTGCTAGCTGTGTACAGATGATTGCCATCCGGGCTAAAGTGCATTTCCATCACAGCACCATTGTGTCCAAGCATACAACCGAGAGCTTCGCTTTCTTTATAAATATCCCAGATAACTACAAAAGATATAAGAATTTCTTCAATAAAAAGAAGAAATGCAGATCTTACAATGTGTTTACCAATTTCTAAACTATCTAATCCTGATCTAAACAAAACAGTCTAGCAAATAATACAAATAATGTTTGCGTACCTACTCTTTTTAACAAACTGCAATAAAAGGACTACCGATGTGAAGTTAAATGACAAAACTTACAGATCTGTCGATCAAATCCTGTAGAGGCAAGATATTGGCCTTCTGGGTGAAATTCAAGAGAAAAAATTTCTCCTTGATGTCCCTCGCACAACATTATTGGTGCTGGCAAGGAAGAAGTCCTTGGCGGGCCCTAGAAAATTTTATTGCAAATAAATAAACATTTTTCAATCTCTCAGAGACATCAATTTTTACTTCAACAATTCTATGAGAGAGCAGGTAGGTCTCTCTTTCTCTCAAAATAAGAATTAAAGATGTGATACCGATCACATGTGCGAAATTCATGCGAAACCAAGCTATGTGGGATCATATTCCACAAGCTGAGTGATTGAGAAGATATTTTTACAGTGAAGACAGTGACTGTTTTTTTATGTAGTATTTTTAACGTGTCTAACAACACAACTCGATTATTGTGTGTGTGTGTGTGTGTGGGAGCACAGTCTCTTTCTTTCCAGCAACTTTGTAAACGCGGTGACGAGAGAAACGAGGTTAGATCTTACACTTTGAACAATTGCTTTTTCCCTGCTACTGAAAACTATTTCGGTCTTTGTTCTTTTCGAGGCGGGAACCAACGCCAATATATCATCTCCTCCTTTTCTCTTGTCCAAGAACGGCATGGTGATGTAGAAAAGTTTTGATTCACCGTGTTCCACGCTTTCCTTCCCGCGACAGGTTTGGTACGAAATTGTTTTCCTTTCCCCCCACCATATATCGGATCAGAGTTGATCGGAATGGGTGCGTTCAGACAACTCAACAGTTGCACAACGGTTGACACATAATGGGTGCGTTCAGACAACTCGACGGTTGAGAGATCGTCACTTATGATAGGACTATTCTTCAAAATCTACTGCGGTTCCAAAAGTACGATCCAATCAGAATTGATTATCTCTCAACCGTTGTGCAACTGTTGAGTTGTCTGAACGCACCCAATGGGTGCGTTCAAACAACTCGACGGTTGAGAGATCATCACTTATGATAGGACTATTCTTCAAAACCTGTTGCGGTTCCAAAAGTATGATCCAATCAGAATTGATTATCTCTCAACCGTTGCGCAACCGTTGAGTTGTCTGAACGCACCCAATCGCTTCTGATTGGATCATACTTTTGGAACCGCCGCAGATTTTGAGGAACAGTCCTATCACAAGCGATGATTTCTCCAACCGTTGAGTTGTCCGAACGCACCCCTTGTCTTTTTTTTTTTTTACATAAGGATCGGACAGTTTGCGGTGACGACGCGCGTGTGTACCATTGGCGAGAGGATGCGTGCGCGGGTTCTGTCCGATCCTCCCGACGGATAATTGGTGTGAGAAAAAAATATACACAAGTGGAGATCGGAACTGTAATAGAATTTGAATCCGAAGATGACCTGACAGCGGGACTTTACATGCGACGTTGCAGGAAAAATGTACGCGGGATAATATTATATCTTGTTTCGAAACGGATCCGTTCTCTTCGCTCGATCTATCGCTGAGAGAGAGAGAGAGAGAGATCCTGAAGAGATCCACCGCTCGTCGAGCTGTGTGTAACGTCAGTCGATCAGAGGTTTGAAAAAAAAAAAAAAACATTCCGGCGAGAGAGAGAAAGTACATGGAAAGTACGTGTCCGAAGGAAATTATAAATTTTCCGCGAAGAAACGCGCGGATGTGCTTCTCGGATGATTTTTCTTCATTCGCATCTTCGTGGGTGTTTGTCTGTTTTTTTTTTGTTTCTCTTCGCACACCCTTTGGTTAATCGCGCTCTGTTTTTTTTTTTTTTTTTTATTTAACTAAGCGCAACGTGTGCGCAGCGAACAGAACGGATCTGGCGAGGACGAGATGCGCGCGTAAAAATTAAAACAACACCCCCCCTGGGTGTGTTCCTTGTCGCCTTGTTGAGGTTATGTAACGCGACTGTGACAGCAGCAGATTTTCGGCTATGCTAGTTTTTTTTATTTTTTATTTATTTTTTTTTTTTTTATTTTTTTCAGATATGAAAGCGCGATCAGCAGGAAGCTCGTAACATGATACGCCCTTTCCTCGACGAGGAGGATGCCTGGTGTTACTTGGCGGTCTCGGTTGGCGTCCTGCTGTCGTTCCTCGGCCTCGTCGCCGCCTGCATCTGCAGCTGCCGACGAAACGAAAACAAGTGGGTCCATCAGAAAATCCTCTGTCGAGTCTCACTTGTCATCGCAAGATTTTTTAAGTTTGCCAACAGTTGCCATTTTTATAATTTCTTTTTTGTTCTTGTTTTTTTTTTTTGATGACACACACACATCTATAAGTTTTCATATTTGTTGTTACAACTTTGCGATCGCATTAATGCAGGAATGAATTTCTCGGACTCGCTGGTATGGTGAAACTGAATAATTCCGAAACAGACGGTTTCAACAGAATCCCAATGTCGGATGTAGCCCAAGTTGTTACACAGGATGTTGTCACGGACGGTGGAAAAAGGTTCCTCTGGCCTCTAAATTCACACTTCGGTTACTCTGTAGTCTTTCCCAATCAAATTGCATATTTCTCAAGTCATTCCTTTCAGCATCCTTTATAGTATTGCTTGTTTAAAACACTGATATATATATATATATGCTTGTTTCTTGCAAAACTTACATATACTACATCATCAGAACTATATTTGCTAACAGAATTCTTAACAAAATACTAATCTGATTTGGTCAAAAATCATTAAAGTATCAACTTTTGAATGTACATTGCTCGTGCACAAGAAAACATTTTTCCAAACATAGATGCATAACATACATAATCTTGTAACTTAATTTTACTTGTTGACACATATTTATTTCAACTTGTTTTTTTTTTTTTTTTTACACACGCAGGATCACAAGTGTCAATAGAAGTCTTCCAGATATTCCAAAGGATAAGGGCAGAGAACACGAGGACACGGTGGAGTCTGTGCCTCAGATAATTTACGAGACTAACGAAGCCATAGGGGACCATTCGGAACTATACGCTACAGTTCAAGACGCAGGTACATGTAAACGAGCAAATCTTGCTGGTTTAATACGAGACTTGCTCTTTCTTTATCGTCTGTTTTTTTTTATTGTTTTTTTTTTTTTTAGAACAGGAACAAATATCCAACAGAGAGGGGCAAGAGGTCAGAGAGCAAGATCCTCTGGCGCAAGATATATCTCATCAATACAAGAGATTTGCATCTCCTATTTCTAACAATTGTAAGCAACTTGGTTATCAAATGATTTTTTTTTTCTAGAGATACTTGTCAACTATATAATTAATAACAATTCTATTATCTTGATAACAGCTGAACATCCCTACGCGCAACTTCAAAGTGTTCAGAAGACTGAGGCTAGTCAAATAAATAGGTAACATTCACACATGTGTTCCAATTACACGTGATTTTGAGTTTTGTTTTTATTTTTAATTGTTTACGTTCTTCGCAGAAATAATGTCAATCCAGGAACGAGTATCGAAAAACCGTCGACTTCCTCGGAACAACCGGAAGGCAATCCCGTTGCTCCGCCGAGAACCCGCCGATCGTCCTCGTACAATTCTCTCCTCAACTCCGAATCGCACTGCGACATTCAAGCTGCCAATGCAATTACCGGCGGTGTGCAGGCCAATCAGGACTTGCCGTATATGACACCGCCTCTACTGATGCTGTCGCATCCGCCGCAACCCCAGCACAACTCGCAGCAGCATTTTAGCGGGGATTCCCAAGACTCGAGTAATTCCTTGTGTTTCTTCCTTCTCTCTTCGTCTTTCTTTTCCGCGAATGATGAATATTTTCAGCAATTTTGTGCGTGTTCTTTAATGAGTTTTAATATTATATACAGAGGGATACACGAGCATAAGCGTGAGGGAGCCGTTAGCCAACATAATCGCGCAGACCAAAGCGGCCTATCGACAAAGTCACTCCGCTCGACCGATCACCGATCCTCACTACGCTACCGTTTCTGACGATTCAGGTGAGTGAGTCTTGAATCTCTTGAAACCCCGCGATGACGAAGACGCGAAATGAAAAGACTCGAGCGAGCATGTGTTTTCCAACAGACGAAATGTACGCTGCGATCGACGAACAGGACAAAGTGTACACCAGCGGTAGCGAGACTTACGCGCAAATACAACCGATGACGTCAGAAGTACAAAGACAAACGCAGCACGAACAGACGGTGTTTTGTCAGGGGCTTTCGCGCCCGGAAGATACGCATCACGCGCCGCAACCTCCCAGCGTCGACAGCTTGCGTCACGTCGCGCATGCCCACTCCCGGCAAGGTTGTTGACAAATAAATGATTGATCATCTTGCTCTCGGGGATGTTAATTAACTTGTTGACTGGCTTCTTTTTTTTCGTTGTTCAGCATCGTCGTCGAGCGCAACTAGTTCCATTATCAATCCCGGATCTCCCAAGCCCGAGAAACGTCAGGCAAACTCCCCGCTTCCACCGCCACCCGAAGTGACCACAGAGGGTTACGCGTGCGTCGAGAAGAAAACTAAAAATGACGACAGCAGGTCGAGATCCTCGCTGTCTGTGGGTAAGTCGCTCGAGGATATGTACGCGAAGGTGATGAAGAAGAAACGGGAAGTGGAGGAGCAGCAACAGCAACAGCAACAGCAGCAGCAGCAGCAGCACAACGAAGTTCTTCATCCGAGCTCGAACAACGCTCCGTGCTATCCCGAGGCGAGTGCTTGCAGGAAGCTCAGTCTGGTGGAGATCAGCCGGGCGTCCTGGTGCAGCCACGAGTCCGTGGAGATTCAGAAGAAGGAGCTTGATTTCGCGCATTACGCCGCCGCGAGCAACATCGCGAACAATTACCACGTCAACGACAGCGACAACGTAAGTTCCTCGAGATTGTCCCGACCGGACGCGGACGGTTACAGACAATCACGACTGATCGCCGCCATCGCGGCCCTGTCGAGCAACTCCGCGGATAGCAATCACGAGTACGAAGCCGTCACGAGTTCGAACAACGACAAGAGAAACTCCGCGCGAAGAAGTCCCGCGAATTCGTCCGATCCAAATTACGAGGTGCTGCGACCGCAGTGTTTGCAAGAAAACGAGCACTATCCGAGCACGTCGTTACAGAACACGAGAAACAGCGCGGATGTGTATCTGGTTGCGTACAAACACAGACAGGTGAGCAACGCCAGCAGCGAGGATCCCGGTTACGAGAAGGTGCGTATGCGACGTCGAGTTGAACTCGATCAGGACACGGATTCCGAACCGAATTACGAGAGCATGCCGCACGATCCGACCGAACCGAACTACGCGTCCGTGTGCAGCAGGCCCGGTGACAGCGACACCGAACCGAATTACGAATCCGTCAGCCACAGTGATCCGAACTACGAGAGTGTCAAGTATGTAAGTGTCGCGCGAAACGAGGATCCACCCTACGAGCAAGTGAACAATTTGTTGTCGTACGCGGACGGTTACGAGAAGGTGAGAGACAAGACAACAATCAATTCCGATTACGAGAAAATAAACAATTCGTTGGAACGAACTAGCAATCGGGGGGACACTGACGATGAACAATACGTTCAGGTATAATGTTCTGATTTTTTTTTTTCCGCCGGGACGTTTGGACTTATTTTTATCGTCCGGTTCTCTGTAATAATCTCTCTCTCTCTCTCTCTCTCTCTATCTCTAGTTGATTGATATATCGAGAAGACAGAATCCGACTTGATGTTCGAACACTCAACACGGCGCGATCAAGTTTGTATCGATCGTACGATATCGAGGATAAGACTGACAAAGAGGACAGACAGTCGAGGGAGTAATCGAACGAAAGAGAGTCCGTATGATATTTTTTTAAAAATTGTTTCTAAATTCCAACAACTTCCTCGTCGAAAAAAACAAACATTGTTCGGAAACGACAACATGGCTCTAGAACGCATTCCCGTTCGAATCGAACGAGACGCGTCGATTTGTCCAACAAGACCAGAATCCGCCAAGTTCGAGCTTCTTCGTTTCGCACAGTTTGTGTTACACACACTCGCGGCAATTTCTCTCTCGTTTATTACGCTTCTTCCCGACGCGATATGACATATTTGTAAACTTTCTACGTACAACACATATATATATATATATATAGAAGTCTATTTTAGAGAATTATTATTTATTGCAAGCGCGTGTAATTATTTTTTACGCAAGGTGCTATGTGTGAACGCTCTATCGGCCAAACACACACGTGAGGCGCGAATGATTTTTGACTTTAAGTTTAAAACACACGCGCGCGCGCGCGTTTTTTTTTCCAAGTGCGTCATCAAATCGAACCGCGCGAACGGAGCGCGGAACGAAATTCATAATCAAATATGTGCGTGCGTGCGTGCGTGCGTGTGAAAAAGAAAAACAAAAAGCAATTTGTATACTAATGTAACACACTTTATAAAGCTAATGTAATTCCTTTTACATTGTAAGAGTGAGAACACTGTCGCCTCTCGCGAGATCCGGCGCGCGTGATTGGTTTGCAACAAAAACAATTTCGCAGATTCTCTCGCGACGAGGAGAGACGACGAACTGAGCGCTTGTATGTACATACGCACATCGACGAAACTTGGCGTCCTCCCATCGAACGAAATCCAAACTTGGTGTGTTATTCGACAAAAACCCTTTTTTGCGGCGAGCCTAATTCCGAGTTTGCGGAACTCGGTTACTCTTTAGTTCCGATAATGGGAAAAATAATTAATCGCGGGATAATTTGGAACAAACGGCCTATCGGAGGACGTGGGCGCGCCAAGAGACGAAGAAGATACTTTCTTTTTTCTTTTTTTTTTTTTTTTTCTAATAAGACGCGTTCGCCAAATACCCACAAACCCTGTACCGTGGAATCCCTCACATATCTGTTGTAAAAAAGAAAAGAAAAAAAAAAATACAATAACCGAAACTCCTTTTGGAGTTACTTCGGTCGCCTCTGATATTGTCGCGCGCACAAAAACAGCAGAAGAAGAACTCATAGATCGTCACTCATATTCGCCATTTTGATATATAAAAGTATACATTAATTGTATCAACTAACATTTGTAAAACGAGCGAAACGGCAAAACGTGTAAGCCGACACCCGTCGTTAGACACGACGGCGCCGATATAAATGTCGGACACCACCCCACACACACACACATTGTGCAATATACGTTATGTCGAATGCAAAAAAAATAAAATCAATGAAAATCGAACGCGGCTGAAGTTACTGAAGTTGACCCGCACGTTTGTCTCCCACCTGCGATTTTTTGTGGAAGGTAAAACGGACACTTACGATGGAAATAAAATTGTTAAACATTGAACAACAGTTGGACGGTGTTGTCCGTTCTCAAGATAAATTTCTAACTTACTGTTTTTTGGGAGAGACACAACCCCCGCCTTGTGTTTTAACGCGATCATCAAACTTGCAAGTTCCCGGTTCGAGATCTGACAAGTAAAGAAGTACGAGTAGAATTTTATTTAAAAAAATGTATTCTCGTTTACATCTTAGACGCACCGTTGACCGTTCTCGTGTCTCTCGTGGTCTCTCTCTCTCTCTCTTTCTCTCTTTCTCTTTCTCTCTATAGGTGTAGGTTAACAATAAATATAATTGCTACTTACATGGTAATTTTACATTGTTATACAATCGCTCATCTCCGTTATACAATCGCTTATATACATAACGCTATAGTTTTTTTTTTTTTTTTTTTTTACGGAACTAATAATTCTCTCTCGTGTCAAAAATTGTTTTCTATATTTCAGGCTCGTTACATACTTGGTATTTTTAGTACATACGTGATTTTTTATTTCTTTTTTTTTTTTGCAATTGATGGTCGAATCCGATCAGACGTTTCGCTCGGGTGTGATTTACAAAATTGGACTGGGAAGGAAGAAGGGGGGGGGAAGGCTGAAAAGCGGAACGAACTTCCGATTAGAGAGTCCTAAGTACGCGTGGCCGTGTGTGTATATATTTATATATATATATATATATATATGGGAAAAGCGAACCATGTGTGAAAACGGAATCGTCTCGCTCTTGTAAAATGATGACACGTTGTCGCGCGCGCACACACACACACACACACACACACGTCGTTCCAATTCCAAATGTCGGGCAGAGAAAAGAAAAAAAAGAAAAAATTACTACGACAAGTACAACAATCGGTAACGAACGCAAACAATTTGAAACGCGTTACCACACGCTCTCCCTCGTTGATTATCACACGTGTCGCGGTTACAGAGAACGCTCTATCATCTCCCTTATATTTATTACACGTTATCTAATATTATTATTGTACTCTTCTACGTAAAACTTATTACACGTGTTTTCTCTCTCTCTCTCTCAAGCTAGAACGTATATTCTATAAAAATAGATAACATTCGGTGTGTAGCAAAAAACCTATCGATGAAACTTGCAACCAACAGAGTATGCACGCATACACACACACACATACACATACACAGCACGTAGATCAAGACTCACCCGAGACGCTCGTTGCGGAATGCGAAATTTGAAGACTGAGGAGATTGCGCGTTGTTCGTCAAGCTATAAAAAAACAAACTTCACCGTGTGTTTGAGACACCCGCGCGCGGAATCAAAACTCCATCCAGACGTCTAACGGAGACGTTTTGTTCCGTAACTGGGACCAGCACGGATTGGCAAAATACACGAGCTTTCTGGTTTTTGTTATCGTGCGCGTGAAGCAAATTCACACATCCACGTACGTGTTTTTCAACAAACTCTCCGATGAAGAAGTACCTACTATTAGATTCTCTCTCTCGGTGCGTCTTCTATAAAAATCTATATTTAGCAAAATGCTAGCGACAAAACGTGGTGGGAAAATACGTTTTATTTCGTTGTTAAATTACATGGTGGCACAAGATAATAAAAATCATCTCTCTCTCTCTCTCTCTCTCTCTCTCTCTTGCTTTTGATATCGTCAGAATTGCAATGCAACGAGCGTTTCGCCTTGAAGAGTGGAGTCTTGAAACATTGGAAGAACTGACAAACAAAAAAAAAAAAAAAAAAAACAAATTACAAAAGTTGTTGTTTCTTTCTCTAGGTGCAACAGTTAGACAGTTTTAGCTACAACACACTCGTGCTACGCCGTTCCGTGTGTTTGCAACAGCGCGGCACAGACGACAATACGTGTACCAGTTAACATTTTAACACTAGAACAACCTGGGAGTTGAGAATGTCTAGTTTCGTCAATTTCGAAGATAAAAAACATTTATTTTTAATTTTTTTCTTTTTTTTTAATAGCTAAGAGCTCTCAGAACCTTTTTTGATCTTTTCTTCTCTCGTTGGAAATAATCGAAACGTTTATGCAGTTTAAATTTAAAGCAAATTTGCGCGCGCGCGCGCGCGAAACACACTCGTCGTGTTTCGAGTGTTTGATTGTCCTAGTGTTAACGACGTTGGCCACAAAACCGAAGGTGGCAAACCGAATGTGTTTAACGAGAGTAAAACTTACTTTTTGTGCGCAAACAATCGCGGTTCCAAAAGGAACTAGGTACAAAATTCGTCTCGAGAGTAACAAAAGTACGCTGCGCGAAAGTAGCAAATCGTAACGCTCGCAAAACAATCGGCGGTCAAACGAGTCTCTTTGCGTTTTTTTAATGAGCGCGCGCGCGCGCACATCGTCGTGTATGAAAAACTAGACGATTCCGTGACAAGAAAACAAAAAAAAAATTTCCGCAAAAATCGACGGTCTTCAAAAATTCTCCAAAAAATCTTCTCCGAGACTAAAAAACACACTCGTACAAACGGGAAGAAGAAGGTTTCGCAAGGCCGATTTTTCTGACGTTGAAAAAAAAAAAAAAACAAATAGGAATTCTCTTCGAATTTGCGCGAAAAATTCGGTGACAAATCAAAAATCCCCCAACGATCAACTCAAATCGCCTGCGTTATTTTTTTTTTTTCTCGTGAACAATGGTGCAACAATGTACACATTCTCTCTCGATTATTCTCTTACGTCTATATTTTTTTTACTATTTAAGGGATGTGAGACGATAAAATACTTTAAAAAATATTAAATTTCGCAATCGTCGCCCACGTTTAAAATGGTTATATACATACGACTGCAATCGTTTGCGATCGTTGTGATCTCCGCTGCTTGCTTATCTACAAACACAAACGAATGTAAAATGCAGATCTTGCGTCTTCTCCGACTCTACACACGCACGCAATATACACACAGACACACACACACACGCACACAGAATGTGTGTTTCGCCTCGTAAAATACGGGGGTTGCGTTAACGTTTAATTACTTTGCTCGTCCAAATAATAGTAGTTGCCACTCATCTCTCTTTTGCATACAGTTTTTTATTTATTTTTATTTTTTTTTTTTACTCGGTAGAAACATACGTTTCGTAGTTTTTTTTGTCTACTTTTTTATTCGACTGAGCACAATTTTCTCTTAAATCTTTCCGGACGTCCGAATCGTGTTTTTCCGCGAAATTAACGACCGGATCGGATTTTTAACGACGACGAGTTTGTTTGTTTGTTTGTTTGTTTGTTTTTTTTTTTAATATAATAACGGCTCGATGAGACAATTATAAAACAAAAGACTAGAATTGCCTGTGGTCCGGGTTGAAGGTGGACGTTCAACCTTCAATCTGGACCACAGGCTCTCTGGTCCAGATTTTTTGTTTTATAATTGTTTTTTTTTGTTTTTGTTTTTCAGTTTCTAATTTCTATAATACGTTTTAGTCTAAAATACTATTTGAACCATCCGCGAGTTTATATAGTATTTCTTTGGTCTCACTGTGTTATATATATATATGTTATCAGCTCGTGCGCGACACGAGTTAGAAATTAATTAATTAAAACACCTCGCGATCGACGCTCACAATATAACAAATTGTTGAGACGAAACTCGTTGACTGCAAATGTCGCGAATAATTATTTAAATTCCCGACGAGTATCTTCGCGTATAAACGACGTTGTGTAATTATAATATATTTTTTTTTGTCCTCCCTTCAAGCACGCGTACGCTTTTACATTTGTGAGACAACAACGCCGTCAACAGCGTGAGGAGAAAAAACACAAGCGGAGAAACCGGTTTTCGTCTATAAGATCGAAATGTATTCTATTCGATTTGTGCGATACTGTGTATTTTTTTTTCTTTTTTTTTTTAAGAAGCGTACAAACAATCTTTTTTTTTTTTTAGTCTAGGTATTTCGGGCTTGAATAATCTCTCATCGTGTGTCGATGCTCTGAGCTATCTTAAACGACGTTTTTTTTTTTTTTTATCTACTTTGTGTGTAATATCGATATCACAAAATCGGATTTTTTTATTTTTCTCTCGTACATTACAAAGGTCTTGTATATATTTGAACACAGCGGTTCGATTAATATGTATAAAATACATCACGTGTCGCTCGGAAAAATTGTCGCCCAATTTCTCTTTGCGCGCGAAATCGCGTCGCAAAAAAAAAAAAAAGAAATGGAGAAAAAAAAAGACCACGAAAATCGCGTCTGATTTAAATTCTGTCGTGCGATATTAGTCTGGGTGTTGAAGCGAGATTTTTTTTTTTTTTTTTTTTTTATTTAAGATAGTTTAGAATATACTGTTTGTTGCCAGCTTTTTCACTCCCGCATCATCCTTCAATCATCATCCCGCACTCGCTCGTTCGTTTCACGCATCCACGCGTGTATATGCTAGGCGAAGGATAGGGGGAAGGTTACAAACCGGTAAAGAGACGATTCTTCTTCGTGCGAGTCAAAAATATAAAATAACGAGCGCAGCAGAAGTCCGAAGACACTTCTGATCAAGTGATGCGCACGTACGTGCTCTCTCTTTCCAACACCAGATCTTATTTAAAAGACGAGTGTTTCAGTGACAACTATTGGACGTTCGTCTCGAAGAAACAATCGTGCCAAAGTATTTATATATATACGCGAAGTTAGGAACTAATATACTTGCAAACGCATCTCAAAACTCTTACTTAAAAAACTTACCGAGAACTGTTCGTGTGTGTTCGATATTTACATATCTCTAGTAATTTTGTTTCTCCGACGAACGCTCCGGCCACTGGCCACACGATCATCCGATCATCGGGATTTATCTCCCGGATTGAGCGCTAAGATTAACCACCACGTATGATTTGTATGCTTGTCAACGTTTTTTCATTTGTGTGCACGAAGAATCACCTCTGCGCGGTCACACCAACCCGTCCCCACCCGTCGCACCCTGTACATCGAAGTAACACACACTTACTCTATGAGTTATCGTAGTTTAGCAGTTTTTTTCACTTAATTCTAAATATGAAATCTCGCTTGTCTGGTATATATATACCAGAAAACAATGCGAACATCCGAAAGATCGCGCGTCTTTCGGGTTTTTTGTATTATTGCGCGCACCGCGTGTACATTTTTCTTGTTTTTTTTTTTATACAGCCGTGTTTAAAACTCTTCGCGTTACATCGTACCGGCGTTTTGTTTAACAGCGATGTAACTATTGCTCAGGAATACGTATAGGGTGAAAGTATAATGTCGAGAGCCGATCGGGGGGGGGGGGGGTCAGTTGAAAAACGACGGGATTTCAAAAATGCGACTTTGATGAAATAACAATTCAACGATGGGGGGGGATAAAAGTGCGGACTAGTACTTTCAATTGGTTACAAGGATATCAACGTCTTTGATTTGCATTAGTCCTTGGAATTCCGATTTACGCTCGGTCGGCGAACCGTTTCTTTGGGATTGTTTTGGGAGAATCGCTCAAAATCGCGTTTATCCTTAAACCGAGCTTCACAGAATAATGAAGCTGAACAATTTATTCGGATCTTGTATATGTTTATAATGAGCGATAATTAACAACAACTACAGAAAAAATACAGGCTCGAAAATTACACGGTTCGACGATCAATTCGCTTTGACTCTCTCTCTTCTCGCGTGGTTTTTCGTTGCACACACACATGTTGGGAATAAGTTCTCGGGAGAGACATCGAGTCCTCTCTCAAGAGGATGTGAGGTTTAAAATAAAATTCAAAAAGTAGAGGGCACGTTTCTGTTTCGCTAGAAGAGGATTTTTTTTACAAAATACTGTTCGATGGCAGCTTTCGAGACTTGTCGCGCAATTCCAAAAAAGATACACACACACGTTCGCACACACATACATCTTCTCCTCCCTTTCAACAATCGGCTCTTCGATAAAAAAAAAAAAACCAAAATTCTCTCCTCCCGTTTTTTCCACAAACAACTTTTCGGTCGACTCGGCACGTGTCCACTATCTCACCGCGCGCATGTAAAAATTTTACAACAAAGTGTGAGACACAAGGCGCATGTAGCAGGTTCCACTGACATCATCATCATCATCATCATCATCCTCCTTGACTTGCGTTGCTCCTTCAGCAGCGTGTACGTGATGAACGGTCGTCCCGCCTCGACGAGACGACGACGTTGCAAAGTGTGCGACAATCGGCGTCACATGCTGTCCGGGCTGCTGGTTTCCTGATCGCAACCCTGATCGACCTCTTCAATGTCGCCCTCGTCGCTCTCGCTCGACGGGCTCGGCTGTTCCATATGGCCAAAGTCATGCGTGTGATCTGGCAGCTGATGCGAGTGATCGTGATGATGCAGCAGATCGTGATGGTGATAGCAGTGACGACGACTGTCGATTATCTGTCGCGACGACGGTATTTCGTCGATCGACGGCACGCCGTGCGAACGCGCGCTTCGTCGCACATGCAACTGACAGCAGACCAGACAACCTGTCAAAGCCAACACAATACTGACGACCGCATAGACAATCGGCATCACATAGCTGTCCCCGGGTACCATCGCGTCGCCTGCAATTCACGTTTACAATTTTCATTATTTACACGTGCGTGTTTGTCATTGTGTCGCGCGCGTAAAAGCGACATAAACATCCTAACTATATATGTTTTGAGATACGCTATAAATTATATATCACAATTTAAAAATTATATCAACTTCACGTGTATATTATTAATATATATATATTCAGTTTATATTTGTTAAACAACGCGAACTGACAGACATTGTTTTTTTTATTCTTGCAACCTATCAACAATACATGTATCAGCCAAAAACTGAGGTTTTTTTGCACATCGATCTAACATATATATATATATTAATAATATATTGAATTTTTTTCACGTACAACTGTATTCAAGAACTCAGTAGAAAATATTCAACTGTAATTACGAAGCAAATTAAATTGCACAACTTTGCCACCTGTTACTTTTTGTTCAGAAGTCTACAACATATACTCTCTCATCGATCATTTCAATCTTTTTTTTTTTTTTTTTTTAATCTGTTTTTCATTGTCACGCACAATTTTTTTTGTCTAACTATAAAAAGAAATCTTTCTCTACACGAAACTCAAACAACAACAATTTGCGAAAAAAGAGAAATAAACGTTACAAAACAATTCTTTACACACACACAACGTTGCGTTTTTTTTTTTTTTAAACGTATTGCAAATCTTGTTTTACAAAACGGTTTACCGAAGAAAAAGACAAACTTATTCACATAGCGCGCACGATTAACAAAATTTGCTTGTTGCAAAACGCGCGACGAAGGTCTTGCGAGAAGTTACACACATTAGAAGTGACCACACTCGGTTTTACATTTCCGATGTAGACTGAAAAAGAATAGAAAAAAGAACTAGGTGGGAAAACTAAGTGAGTTGTATACAATTTAGAGAGAGAGAGAGAGAGAGAAAGAGAAAGAAAGAGAGATAGATAGATAGAGAGAGAGAGAGAATACGTTTGTGTAGAAAAGTACAAACAGGAGAATTTACATGCAGACATATGCTGAGTAGAAACGTTTATTGCATTCCTTCTCGGCATGCTCTTCGATTCGTGTCGAATTCAATGCGATGTCTTACGCCAATACTCCTTCTCCGAGCTTCCATCGGGAAGACGTCGCACGTCTTCTGGCAAAATTGTTTCTATTGTTGCAAAAGTAGACCACGTTTTATCCGATCCTTTTTCTTTGACAATTTTTTTTTTTTTTTTTGCTTTGTCCCCCTCACTCTTCCGGTTGCTTATATTGTTCGGTTTTGGCAGTGAGTGAAAGAAGTTACGCTCTTAATTCGTTCCTTCTTGCTTTTGTGGCTGAGAAAATTATTTATGACCCAGTTCCTCGGAAACAAACTGAGGTAAAGTGTACCAGTTGCCAAACGTTTATTAAAGAAATAAATACACAACACAAGGTCTTTATGTAAATTATCTCTTTAATAAACGGCCACATCAATTTCTGATCATTGGAACACACCCTGATCTGTTTCCAAATTTTGAAACATGGTCATCCTCAAAATCTCTTGGAGAAGGAGTATTGGGTATCTCAATGAAAGACTAACGGTGATTCTCGTTGTTCTATAATAAAGGTCTATCTATATGGTACTTGTAAAGCAATTTATTTCTTAATTATCACTGGCGTTCTAATTGTCCAAATCTCTAATGGGAAATAAAAATTTTAACGCTCTATTTTGCCGGTGTGTCTGCTAGCTCGATTCTCTACGTTTCTCAGTTGTGAGAACGGAAAAGATGCAAATGAATCTCGAGACTCTAATTTGGTTGCTTTTTAGTTCGTCAGCTCGGAATCGAATGGCGAAAGTGATACACTGTGATAAAATACTCATTCCGCTTAGCTTTTTGTTTTCTTTTTTTTTTTTTGTTTTTGTTTCTCTGTAAATATGATATGATTGTGCAATATTGTGAGTGAACTCACGTGATAAGGGGGAGATTCATAACATGCCGGATTCGTCTGGAAGCTTCATGAAGGGGGCTCAGACGGCCACGAACACAAAGCACAGAGAGAGAAGAAGCATGGCAGAAGAGATCCCAGCCAGTGCTGGTGACAATGGGGCTGATGCTGCACCTGCGATACCACACGATCATTCACCCACGCAGCACCGCCACTCTCTCTCACCTTGTAACGTACGTTCCTACGTTTACTACTACTTACCTAGGAAAAATTACAACGCTCTCTTATTAGCCCGGAAACGCTACACACGTGTGCGTCAAACGTGATCAATTAAAACCCACAATTATTTATCAATCGACAATTTTATTTTTATTTTGTTGTTTTTTTTTTTTTTTCTATTCGTGGGAGAGAAGACACGGACGTCGACTAATCGTGTGTAATTGTTATCGTTGTCACGTTGTTATCGTATATATAACTGCTTTTTTTTTTATATAGATGTAATGATGTAAAGATATATATATATATATGTATATAAATGTATTTGTATATGGATCTCGTAATGTTTATTTTAAATAAAAGCGATGTCTTCTGGTGAAAGCGAACGTGATCCTTCATGCTTCGTGCAATGTTTTTATTTTCGACTTGAGTCTGAAATGCGTCTTACAGTAAATTACACAAGTATACGTTCTCCTCCAATTGTTGGCTCTCAATTGACTCTCTGAAATAGTTTTTTTTTTTTTTCTCTATATTTTCTATATTTTTCTATAAGGAGTTTTGCGTTGAGATGACATATACATTATGCGTGTTTCTCAAAGACTGATGATAACGTGATTCAGTGCGCGCTCTAAAGCTCGGGAACTAAGTGAGTTCGAGAGATCGTCGCCAATCTCTCTTGGTGGGTGGTTGGCACAGTTGGTTGGAGAATGAAAACGAGGAAGCGAAAAGACAGTTTGGTTTTCTCGCGACCTTGTAAAATATGTTTTTTTTTTTTTTTTTATGAAGAAAATCATTTCAAGTTAACAATTGAGAGGATGTTATACTTCTGATTCACCGTACACATGTGTGTGTGTTCATATATAAATTTTCCATTGGTTTCGCACGTAAGTTTTACGATCTTTGACATTGAACGAAGTGCGTGTCGTTTATATCTCGCGTGGGTTTTCTCCGACGTGTGTTTGATTTCTTTGATTAACAATGAAGAAGAAAGAAATGTTGCTTGATCGATACATGAGGTGTTTCTTTTTTTTATAAATCGTTCAACTCTCTCGTCGTTAAGTTATTTTTTTTTTTTTTTTTTTCAATAAAAATGATTCAACAAATTAAATGGTATTGTTAAAAAAGGATTGACCTGAAAAGGTATTGCAATACATAAAGACAGTACACCTGGAAATCTTTGTAGAATATAGCGTCTATTGAACAAGATCCACAGAGGAGATTACACACTAAATATTAGTAGAATATAGTTTGACGTATATATAGAGAAAGAGAGAAAGATAATATAAGTCGTAAACGGAAGCAAAGAGAAAAAACATCGAGTCACATCGCTGATTTCGATAGATAGAAATGCTTGCTCCGGATCAAACGCACTCTGTTCGCGCTCTTTAACGTTTGCGAAACTTACAGTTCTCCTCGTCCGACGAATCGTCCGGCCCGCAATTATCAATGCCATTGCACCGCAGCGATTCGGCGATGCAGTATTTAGTTTTGCTGCATCGAAACTGATTTTGACAATCCGTATTCGTGCTCACCTCCGTCCACACAGCCCGAAACCCGCGCTGTCCCACCGCCTTGTCGGCCAATATAAAACTGCAAATACACACACGCGAACAATGCGGTAAAGATTGAGTCTTGGCGGAAAAAAAAAACAAAAACAAAAACAAAATCGTGTTTCATCGAAGTACGTCTGACGAACCTGATCCGCATATTGTTGTCCTCCGATAACAAACTCCAGTTGGTGTCCGGTTTTTTCTCACCGCAAAGCTCGAGCGGAGGCGACGTGGAATACCACATGCGCAACACGGCCGCGGGACAACCTCGCACTGAAAACAAACGTCGCGATGCGATAAGAAAGTAAAACAAAACAAAATCTAAAAGAGTAAATTTTCTGATTTGATAAAGCGCGTTGTAATCTCAACTCAATTAATAAAAATTACCTGCTTGATCACCCTCCACGGAGAAGGATTCGAAGTTCAAGAGTATTTTCTGATTCGGCCGTACTTGTATGAACCAATTGCAGGTTTTGCTAGCTAAATTCTTTGCTGGACCGCTGTATTTATCCGGGTAATTCGGACTGGTTATTATTCCATAATTTAAGCTACTAATATTTGATCCACAATCTACGGCGCACAACAATTCGATGAGATTAATATCACGAATAAAAAAAACAAGAGAGAGAGTAGAAGATTTATATATATTAGAGATTAAAATTCTGTTTGTGTTTATTTTTTTTCTCCAGTTAATTAATTATCTTGTTGCGCTCATACCTCCAAAAATAGGCTTGGCGACCTCGAAGGTGTAACGAGCCTTGAAACCGCTGTAAACGAGCTTGGAGTCCGAGTGCAGAATCACTTTCAATCCGTCGGCACCGAGATTCGATTCGATCGGTCCCGGTGCGGTACCGCCGCAGTACCTTCCGACCAATTTCTCCGTCTTGTCCTCGTAAAAATTGTAAATCTCCAACCAGTCCTCCTGGCAGTTCTCAAATCTGTCAGAAGACACCGGACCACACTGTCGATTCATTCGACACACACACGTAACGTAATTTAAAATACTTCATTCCCTTACCCGTAATGCCCGTCCGAGACATTGAGATTTGTTGTGCGTATCTTGAAGTGATCGAAGATCAAAATAACTTGCTCGTTCTTGCTCGTGTCGAATATGTACGTGCAATTCATGTCGCTCGGATAATTGCTGGGATAACGCGGCGAATTGAATTCGCCGCGTTTGCGAGGAGTGCTGTTGTAAAAGAAGGTGCAGCTGCCGTCGGGCGCCGCGGTGCCAGGTATTTTATATTCCGTTTCGAACGTGTATCTGTCAAAAATAAACGCGTTGAACGAACCGAACCCCTGTTGTGTTTTTTTTTTTTTTTAACAAACGTTAAATCCCCTCGCTACCGTTTCGCACTCACTTGGCTTTGAAACCATCAGCTGGCAGTTCTCCGCTACTGAACACCATCACAAGCCTCGGCCCGTCGCTGACCACGTGACTCGGCGTCATCTTGTTACCGCACATCTCGAAATCGAATTTGTCATAGGAATCCGTAGCTTCTTGACCTTTCAAATACAGTTTCAGATAACCGTCTGTGCAAGACGTCCTGGAAAAGTACGCCAAGGTCCGTGAAGTGCAAAAATTACACTTGTTATATTAATATAAAATTACACTTGTTATATTAATATAAAATGAACGTTCCAGAGCGACCAGACGCGTGCCAGACAGTTTATCAAGGAAGTAATAAATATTGTTTAATTACTAGTTTCTTTTTTTTTTTTTTTTTATGTACAAATATATTCGTATATTTCTTCAAGCGTCCGGTCAGCGTCCGGTCGTCGTAATCATTCGATACGGGGGGGCAATCGAAGTTTTCCAACAGACACTTGACACTCACTCGTTGTTCGGTATTTTTATCGAGAATATCTCGAACTCCAGTCGCACGCGTTCCAAATGTTGCGCGTCCTGCATCCCGTAGATAAAATAACGGCAAACAACCTTCGGCATGTAGGGATATGGAAAATTTGGACTAACTACGTATCCCGAGGTTTCCTTCTTGCTGAGAATCTTCTGATCGCACTCGGACCCGCGTATGTGCTCGCCCCCGTAATTCTTTATAAAATCTAAAAAAAAGCGGGAGGGGAATCAACGAGGTGTCTCCTGCGAGCGAAATTTCGCCGAATGAAAATCAACGAAGTCTTACCCAGACTGACGAAACTTTCCGCGAACTCGAAGATACCCTTAAATCCTCGATTCTGCGTGTTCGCCGTGCGTCTCAGCGTGACGAACAACACGAACAGACTGTTTTCCGACGAGTACAGAACTAAATTTCGTTGCTGACCACAATACGTGCCTATCACGGCGGACGTGTTGTCAAAACCGTCGTACACCTTCACGTAATCCAACGGACAGCTGTGGAATAATTTCAAATAATATATATATATATATATTTTTTTGCCAGTCGTGAAAACGAAATCTCTGCGCGCGGGAGTTTGCGAGATATCTATGATGAAATTTTGTTTACGTACTGCGGTCCTCCAAAGTACAGATCGAAATCGCGAAATTCCAAGCGCACGCGTTGCCCGGGCTTTCCTATGAACTGATAACTGCATACGAGTTCTTTCGGATAGGTGCCGGGATAAGTGGGAGATAGTATGTTGCCGCTGCGATTGTGTTTTCCCTCGATCGTGAAGGAACACGGTGTGTTCGGTACCGGCGTGCCAACCTCGTACTCGGCTGCGAAACAATATTTTTTTTTTTTTTTTTTTTTATCTACACACACGTCTCCGTTGCAAATTTATTTCTATTTAAAAAAAAAAAATGTTTCAATATCAATCAAGCGCCGGAAAACGACTATGTAAGATAAGATAAACTTACAGGCGTTGAAAAATCTATAAAAACCACCGAAAACCCCCGGGTATGTGACATTCTTGTTGGTGTAGAAACTGAGAGCAATTCCCTGATACAGAGAGACTCGCTTGCGAGGTGGAATCGGACCGCAGAAACGCCCACCGAACGGAGTTTCTACAAGCTTGGTCGTGTTCTCCGATCGAATCTCCGAATATATGTCCATGTATTCGTGAATACAGCTAAAAAAATGAGGATTACAACATCGCGCGTGAATTTTATCGTTATTATTTTTCTCTCGGCAGCAATATATGGATATTCTCGTCGCATTGTTCTGATATACTCACGCAGGTATTTCTCCAACAGCGGATCCACTGCGAGTCGAAGAGAAGATGGGTAACGCGTGCAAATATAATACACACACACACACACTTAGACACCACTCTAAAGAAGCTGTCAATGTCTTATATTAGATTTTTTTTTGATCTAACAAACACAACAGATCGAGTGTATCGAGCGCGTTTTCAAGTTTTCTCCAAAACCGTAAACAACCGTCGATGTGTAGTGCGTGACGCTGATCGAATCTCTGAGAGAGAGGAATCCCCGCGACACGCGCGGTGTATCGCGGTCCAACAATGGTACAAATGATTGTGAATTGTGTGTTTCAAACTTACTCAGGCGGTTTCCCCCGAAGACCGAATACGGTAAAAGTCAATTCGACACGCTGGTGCGGTCCTGCGAGAAACGTGTAGACGCATTGCCGCGGTTCCTTTTCGGGATTGACGAACGACGGTGCGTGAAAGGTTCCATTTGTTGGACCGTCGGGAGTGCTTATGAACCTTTGGTCGCACTCTGCGAACAAATCAAAAATAATCGCAGCGCATGAGGTCTAGCGCGCCATATGTAATATGTGTGCGTGCGTGTATGTGTGTGTCACAATCCCGGGAAAAAGTTCTTCACGTATGGAACAAAGTTTATATCTAATTATGTGTGTGATTTGTACAATAAAATTATTTACGAAAAACGTGTTTATGCTTCGTGTCATATTTTGTCATCACTTGTCATCATGTGCGTTATTTTTTTAAAGTAGTATTCCAATTAAAGTATAATTTTATTTTACAAATTTAAGAAGAAGAAACTCTCAACAGTCTCCGCACGTATACGATGACGTATAATTGTGCTGATATAAGTTTTATCAAACAAATGATTAAATATATAAATTTGTCCGCGTGAACGAAGAACGCGACTTTTGTTCCTGAGAAGTCTCGCACGAGATGTAAAAACGCGGATTGTTGTTTAATAGAAACTGGCAGACGTACTTGGTGCTCTGGCAGTGGTGAGATCTCCCGGTGGTGGTGGCAGTGATGGATCGTAGTCTTGTTGTGGTAGAAGCGCGTCAATTACCTCGCGGCCTGAATCGAGGAACGGATTTGGGGGGTTGGACGATGATTCAAAGTCACCCCGCGGATAAACAAGTCCACCGCCACCGGGAAGTACACCACACCCGTTATTATATTAAGTCGTAACCGTAACCTGCGTTAAAAAAAAAAAAAAAAAAAACTGCCAACTTACTGATGTTCTTTCACTGACCTGTGGAGCTCTGCGGATAGAACAGCAAGAGCAACGCGAACACCGGCGTGACAAAGCTATTCCCAGAGGCGTGCCAGAGTGCTGAAGCCATACTGTGTCCTGAGAATAAACGCTCTCAATGTTATCTCCATTCGAATTAATCATGGATTATATCTCTTAACCCTTATTCTGAATCTCTGGGGTTTTTTTTTTTTTTTTTTGATCGAGTACCTTTCGATATTCTCTTCAAGTATCATTAAAAACAAATTGTCCAACTCTTTTTTAATTAAATGGACAACAAGGACGTGAGGGAAGTGTCCCCCACTGATCAGATATTTATTTAAAAAATAATGATAATCAAGTTTTATATGTTTAAAATTGGAAAACTATAGTATGTAAAATAATTTTAAAAATTATTTTAAACATTGACAATTTGTTATGTTTCATATTTACACGTCTAGTAATTATTGTTTTAATACACGTTTCTCATCATTTATCTCATTAGACACTTGAAAGAAGATGCCGAAACGTTTTTTTGCAAACGAAGAAGAACAATTTTTGGAGATTTTCAAAATTTTTTCTCAAATCGAAGAAAAACGCGTCAGACACACACGGTTTCGAGTGCCGAAAATAGATTAGCGTTCAGGATTAGGGTTAAATAAATATAACCGTCGTAATTCTTAAACAAACAACCGGCAACGTACACGCGAACGCACGATATACATATGTACGCAAGTGGCATATTGTCAACTGCTTTTACCATATCGTCAGTGTCTATGCCAGGTACAGGAAAAGCGAAGAAAACTGACCCGGAAAACCATCTGCAACGTAAGACAATGCATTTTATTTTTCGATGGAATTACATACCATGTGAAAAAAAAAAAGAAAAAAAAAACATACAAGTAAACAGAATTTTTATTCGCCTTTTTACGTGTCTCTTTAAATAACACTAACAATTTATATAACTTTTGTTGTTAATTGAGCGCCAAAAGAGTTGCTGTTTTTTTTTTTTTTTTAATAGCAATCGATAAAATTGTCGGTTTACCGAGAAGAAAAATTATATATATATTTATTACAACTTGTACGCGCGCGCGCGAGAAGAGACGCTTGCGGGGACGGAACAACAATTCAATCGACTGCTATCTTGTTGTTGTTGTTGCATAACGGCATGTTGTCATTCAAAATCCATCCGTGCGTGCTTTATCGATCGTGAAAAAACTTTGTCACGGATGAATAGGCGGTGTAAGTAAGTACTTGACGTAAATACCCGCGCGCTTTGTTTGAACAAACTTGCCGTTATAATAAACAAACAAAACACCGGCTCGCACGGATGAGATAAATTTCACGTAGTGAGACTTAACGCGTTGTGATGTAATAAAAAACAAAAAAACAAAAAAACAAAAAAAAAATCTTATAACGTAAATTAATCAGTCTAACGACTCTGATTGAACGACTTTGATGTAATATTCTTTACGAGACAATAATCGATAGTGTTTCACACAGACGTGAGTGCACATTTTTGTACTGACTCGAATAAAATTAAATTATTAACGAAAAAAACATACCGTCCGGAAATCCTCTGATAAAAAAAAACTAGACCAGCTTTTGGAAATACGTGAGTTGAACTTCAAACACTCGGAAGAAGACGCCAGGAAAAAACAATTTTACAAGTTATTTTTAAATTAAAATATATATATAACGATTACAAGATGTAATCACAAAGTTCATCTGTTTCAGAGTGATAGGAGGCGAGAAAATGCTGTGTGTGTGCGTGTATTCGCAAAATGAGAAGCTTCCGAATTAGAGAACGTATCCTATATCTCGACTTATCGCGGACGACGCGCGATAATTGATCCGATCTGTTCGCGCTTCCGAAGTAGTTTCGACCAATCTGTGGCGCGGCAGCGAAAACAGTAGATCGAGCAGATGATGCGTCCGACGATGTGCCTATAATCCGAGCGAACCCTCTCTGCGGACTCCGCAGTGTAATCAATGGACGTGTCTCTCCGTCGTTTATGTAACGCATCAACATAATAATCTAATTAACCTTATTTTTCACTCTCTTTCTCTTACAAAAAAAAAAAAAAAACGATAAAAAATTTTTACATCGTTTCGCGTCGTTCGAATAATTTTTTTTTTTTTTTACCGCGCGTTAGGTCGAATCCTCCGCTTCCGAATTAAATTTTTTTCGATTGTTCCCTTTGCGTTTCTCCGTTTTTCTTTTTCTTCTCGTCGTTGATTCCGAAATGATAATTTATTTCGGATATCAGATTCGCGCGAGTTGGTTTTCACAATTTCGACGATTTTCGAATTTGAAACGACGACGGTTTTTTAATTGATTTTTTTTTTTTGAACAGACGGATTTTCCGTGGAAAATTGCTTCCTCTTTGTGTGCGTCCGTCTTCTCTCTCTCTCTCTCTCTCTCTCTCGATAAAAACCGGGAACGACGACCGGGAGACCGTCGTGGCATACGTAGAACGACACAGACGTTAGAAAGTAGAACAGGGTATTATAGGAATCAGAACCGCGCCCATGCGCTCGGAAAAGGATAGCAAGATGGTCAATAGCGGCGCCTCCGATGTTAAATGCCCGGCTTTTCTTTGGCTTTGATCTATGTTCGCGTTCGAGAAATCACATCGTCGAGAAATATTTTTCCCAACGCGCGTGTGTGTGTATGTGTGTGTGTGCGCGCGCGCGCGTGAAAAAAACATTTATCAATGCCCGCCCGATATCCAAATTATGCAACGATTTTGCTCGACGTCGTTTGAAAGCTTAAAAGCTTGCCGTTAAAAGCACACGTTGTTGTGTAACGTCGAGACGCGTTATTTTCCAAATAGTTAGCGATTTTTTTCTTTCAATTTCTTCGCGGATCAAATCTCTTCCATTGTTCGACGTTTTTCTCGATCTCGCAAATTTTCCGTTGATCGAGTTGGCCGCGTTTTTTTAGATCCGCACGTGAGAGTGCAGTTTGGAATTTATATTGATATTTAGTTTCGGAAATTAATAAATCAATCGATTGAAAACGGACGTGTGGACATTCTCTCCTCTCTCTCTCTATCTCTCTCAATAAAGGTATATTTTACTTCGACGATTAATGTGAACAAATATTGAGAAAACAAGACTCGAGAATGCTGAGGAACACGTCGAGCAAACTTTGTTGTTTACAGTGTCGTCAATATTTTCACATGGCAACAGTCGATATGTGACACGACAAATACTGAAACGGAAAATGGAAATAAATTGTTTGAGAAATGTGAAATAGAAATTTATTCTATCTCCTTCTCCTGTGCGGAAAACGATCCGCAAATCGGAAAACTCCGTGCGGAACAATGTCGGAATTACTGTGAGAATAAATTCTTTGCTGTGGTTTTTTTTTTTTTTTGAAATTTTAATCTCAGAAAAGAAACAAAAAGGGAGAGAAAAGACAGACGAAAAAAAAATCGAAAAAAAACAAAAAAAAAACTAACAAGAAAGAATAAAACCCGTGAAAGTATAATTTATAATTAAAGATCGGCCAGTCTCCCCCGGCGGCCATGCTGTTATCAATATTAACTTTTGACGGAAAGACTAAAAGTACGAAGCCACACACGACGACGCAGAATCTCTCTCTCTCTCTCTCTTTCTCTCTCACACACACATATGTTGTTTCTCTTTGCTTCTGACGTCACAAAACAATATGGCCGCCGAGGAATTGCCGACCTTTAAAGTATAAAATACAAATAGCGTGAATTTGAAAAAACTCCCTTTGACGCGTTCAAACTTGCGCATCGCAGTCTCGACGCGCGATTAAACGTCTAATTAAAAAACTTGCTCCATCAGTTTATTCGCCGTTGCGAAATATTTCAAAGCACGAAGTACTAACGAATTAGTTAACGCATCGTGCGCGTTAACCGTTGTAAACACAATCACGAGTTTTTTTTGTTTTTTTCTTTTTTTGTTTTGTTTATTCGCTCGCAATAAATCAAATTAAAAATATCGTTTCGATTATTAATCAAATTTGCGATTCGTTAACACTTTTCCAGCGTTATCTCGCGAGTCCAGCGATATCGCATCTACCCCTCGAACTCTTCGGGGTGTCGTTTCCTCTTTTTCTCTCTCTCTCTTCGTCTTCCGCAGATTTTAATATTAAATTTATGAGAAAAATATTCATTTCGCGCAATCGAAATCCGTCGCACTTGCGGGCGCGACACGCGGCACACAACAATCGGAAGGAAACAAAAAATCTTTGACAAAGCAAAAAAAAAAAAACAATTTATATTTTGCCGCGTCCGAAACGATCTACTCTCGGACGTGTTCCGCCGTGTTTCTCTGATAAATTTCACACACACACACACACACACACGTCGCAAGGAAGCGATGACCGCGAGGAGAACGGGAGCAAAACTCGCGCTCGATGTGAAAACAAAAAAAAAGTATTCTCCTCGCGTTCCGAAATTCGCGCATAAATGTTTTTTCCTTTCGGAGAAAGAGAGAGAAAATTCGAACACGTCAAAATTGTGCGCGAATTTATTCAAAAAAAGTGGAATCTTCTCACTCATACACAGACACAACAGGCACGCTCTCTCTCTCTCTTTCTCTCTCTCTCTCTCGGAGTCGACGCGTCCATCACGCGAGCACGAACAGTAGTTTATTCTCGCACCTTTTCGAGATGATTCTCTCTCTGAGAGAGAGAAAATCGAAAGTCGCTTCTTCCTTTCTCGGGAAAACTCACCCCGTTGAAGTCGGGAGCAGTCGTAAGCGCTGGATGGTGTTTTTTTCCTCTCAAATCCTCTTCGCCGTGTGTGACCCGTGTTTTTCGCACCCTCGCACACGCGAGTCGCGAACGCCTGCGATCGCGACCCTCCCGACACGCCTACTGGTCGTCGTCACGAGAACGCGACGAGCTATGGAGCACGCGCGGCACGTAGAAACGCGGCACGGCGACTATCGCGCGATAGCGAACGCGACCCTGCATATCGAATGAGAGAGAGAGAGGGAGGTTCGCTCGGTGGCGCGACTCTGCCACCCTTTCCTCCTCCAACCCCCGACGACGTGTCTCGGGCTGTGATCATTCCTGAAAGAGAGCGGGAGGGAGAACAAAAAAAAAGCGGGCCTCTTGCGCGTGCCCTCTTCTCCCTCTCGCGCGCGTTATATTGTCAGACTTTTCTGCCTCTTTTCCTCCCTTCGCACTCCACACTTCGGGGGGTTGATAGAGAGATCGCCGAGAGCTGCGTTCCATTTGGCTGCTTCTCGCAATACGTAGTCGGGGGAGAGCCACCAAGTGGCTCTCCCCCGACGCGACCGGACGTTTGTTAAAAGAAATGATTGTGAGAGAAAGTATATTTGCACATAGCCAGAGATATAATTGGAGGGAAATCCCTCGGCAAATATTAGACTGGCGCAAAAAAAAATTATTTCGAGCGGTTTTTGTTGAACATAAAAATTTTTTCGCACCAACCTGATAAAATTTCGCACCACCGACCCCGAAGTTACAAATTAACAAATTGAGACGGGGGGCGGAGAGGGGGGGGAGGGAAGGGAATTTTCATTTTCGCTAACCGACGAAGGGGCGGGACGGGGAGGGGAAAAAGTATTTATTTGTGCGAAATAAAAAAGAGCGCGGAGCGCAAATTTTAAGAAAGGTAATTCACATACAACTGTTTATTGAGACATGTAGAATACATCTGGTCATACACAAAAATCTTTGACACTTTAAATCAAGCTCCTAGCCCGAAAAAAGGAACCATGTTATAACATTCGTTTTTTTTCTTTTTTCTTTTTTTTTTATTTTTCAAATTCATCATCATCATAACCATATTACGTCTAACTACGTTTCACACTAAAATTAGGGACAACTTGGAGAAATAAAAATTGCGGGAATTAAAAAAAAAAAGCGAAAGCAATTGGCAGAAGAGGTGATAATAATAAAAGAATTATATCCGAGAAAAACGCAAATTATTATAAAGGTGTCGGTACAAATGTCATCACATATGACGCGGATTAGATTTGACGATGAAAATTTTGCACGTCTGTTTTTTTTTTTTTTTTTTTTNTTTTTTTTTTTTTTTTTTTTCCATTTTTTCGTGTTTTTTACATTTAAATTGTGTGGAGCTGACACGTAGCGCAAAAAAAAAGTATATAACATGTACATCGTTTTTTCGTTTTCTTTTCCTTTTCGGGGATTTGGGGGCGTGTTGTGTATTTTCTTATTAAATTCTTTATTAATTATATATATCGTTTACGATTTCCTTCTTTCTCGTTAATTAGTGCTAAATAACATCACGTCACAAAAATGCATTATATTCGCAGGAATATATAAATATAAGTACGCGTCCACGTACGTATGCGCGTATGTATATATGTGTGTGTGTGTGGGTGTGTTTGTGTAATGTACGCGCCTGCGTACGTGTACGTGTAATTTAAAAAAAAAAAAAAAAAAAAAACACGTGGTTCGCGGGCCGCTTTGAACTTTTATTATAAACATTCACAACGTTTCTCTCGGCCCAAGGATCACACAACATCCGCCTTTAACACGTGAAGGATGGCCAACCGCGAGGAGATGACGACGGAGCCCCGAATAATGATGAAACTTTTTTCCGACAAAAAAAAAAAAAAAAACAAGAGAAAACGGTGTGTGCCGCGAATTATCATTACATATAATACATGCTATTGTTTTTGTTAATATTATATTATCATAAGATCGGGGCGTTGGCCAGACCAAAAAAAAGAAAAAAAAAAAAACAGGGCGCGCGGCTATGGCATCGCCAGCCACAGTGTGTGTGTGGTGCATTACCCTAAAATGCGACCGATAACTCTCCTCCCTCGAAGGCGCCCCAGCTGCCAACACCACCGCTTCGTCGGGAAATGCGAAAGGAGATTCGGGGAAAAAAGGGAAGCGGGACAACGTCGCACGTGCGCGAGAGAAATATGCGGGGGAATATACAGGAAACGAGAATAGACAAGGGGTGGGTGTGTAGATAGGCTGAGAAGAGGAAGGATGCGATAAGTGATTCGTCTTTTGGAGCGCCTTTTTTTTTTAACCGGAGCAAGAGCGGTCGTATTATCGATAAACGCTAGTACCTAGATCAGTCTAAGAATCTCGTCACCGTGAACTGTCTCCGCTTTAGCCAAGTTATGCTTCCTTGCCCCCGCAAGCCGAATTCTCTCTCTTTCTCTTTCGTTTTTTTTTTTTTTTAATCTTTATCTTTGCATCTATGTAACTTACGTGTGTGTGTATACAATGTGTAATAATATATTAAAACATAATTCTCCTGCGTTTTCCTTAATTTTTTTTTTTTTTTTTTTTTCTCGTCTTTATTCTCTTTCCTCCCTATCTCGTGCTATCATCATTCTCTCTTTTTTTCCCTTTTCTTTTAATTATTATTATTATAATTATACACAGTTCTTCATTTCGTGTTTCTTTTTTTGCACAGAGAAAAAAACAATGTTTTTCTTCATTTTCTTTTTTTAAACTGGAATATTATCATGTGTCACAAAAACCCACTCAATTATGATTAGCAATATATCATTCTTATCGTATTGTTAATATTAATAGTATATCCTTGATATTATGCTTTTATAAATAGGATGTGTAGGTAAATAGAGTAGGTATATATAAGTAGATATAAAATATGGTAAAGCGAATAATCGGTTAAAGAGGTCGAAAGGAGGGAATGAGAGAAACGAAAAGCAGATTGTGGACGAGCGCGATGGGAGATTGATTTTGCGCGACAAATTTTTTTTACACGCGCAATTTTCGTCTCACACATCTGATCTCTCCTTTCCTCTCTCCTTCCTTTCATCATCGTTTTTCTTTTCTTTCCGAAACAATGATCGCAATTACTTCTGGGAACAGACTGTATACATAATATAACAGAAGATTTTTCTCTCGTCCAATCGTTACTATACTAGATGCAGTTATAAATTTAATATCGCTACTAGTAAAAACAGTATTGATGACGAAGAAGAATTAGACTTAAGTAAAACATGAATAAAAATTAACAAAATGCTCATAAATATACGAAGTTGGTCAAACAATCGATCGTCATCCAGACACTTTGTCTGTGCTGCGTATCTATCGTATTTCGTATTTCTTGTTTCCTTTTTTTTGTTTTTCTCATCGTGACGTTTTGTTGTGTGCGCGTTGTGTACGTGCGTGTGTGAGTGTAAGTGTGTGTGTATTCATGTTTTGTATTGTGTTTTAGTGTGGTTTTGAATGTACTTCGAGAGAGAGTCTGTAAAATCATACATCATAGTTCCACATTACAATGCGATTGTATATATATGCAATCTTCTTTTTTTTTTTTTTTTATACTTCCGGTTTGCCGGCCTATGGTAATAATAAATCGTTTTTCGGCGTGGAGAACCACGCTCGATAATCGTCACATATACAATATTATCCGTCAATCGATCCTACTATTGTATCAAATCCGATTCAGGGCTACAATTGTTATTACAATGTGGTGTGTCGTCTCGTTTGGTATATGTTACAATAAACAGGAGTCTGATATGTAACTATTCCGTTATTATTACAATATCCTTTTTTACGTTTTTTTTCCTTTTTTGTTTTTTTATATCTTTATGTTGTATTTGTCTTCATATTTCGGGGGGTGCGTGTAAAATACAAATAATTTGTGTATTATGTTTTCTTATTTTTTTTTTTTCTTCCCTTTTTCAAATAATCATCCAGAACAGGGGGTGTCTGGGCTCCAGGGACAGGGACCAACTACAGCCCGCACTTACAACTCTTACTAATTAACTAACAGGCTAACAATAACAACAAGTCAACACTCAAAATGTGTGCTGTATGTGTTCATGCATTTGTAAACATTACATTTTACATCCTACTTCAATCCGTGACTATCATTATCAAATTCATAGTCAGTCATTTTTAAAAACCTCTCTCTTTTCTTATTAATTTTTTTTTTTTTTTTTTTAAAGAGAAACAAATTTCATTTTTACATAAAATTTAGAAAAAACAATACAATTACTTTTTTTAATCCTTTACTCCCTTTTCAAAAAGGAATAGATTCGTTTTTCTCTCTTTTGATATTTAGCTTTCAACGATCAATCTTTTTAATTCTTAATTATATAAAAAAATAGAAACACAACAAATAAATATATTACGATTTGAATCTGAGTTTGTTTTGCGCTACTTAGATTATATACTGTCATTGAAAAATTTACTGTACAAGTGGGTTTTTTTTTCCTCGATCGTGAGCAATACTCTCTTTTTCCCTTATTTTTTTTTTTTTTAAATCTTTTTTTTCATTTTCTTATTCAATAAGAACCCTTGCGTGACCGTAATCAAAAACCTAATCTGGGTGATGTACCCGCAGAGCCGTTGGCTTGCAACGTTTTACACTTGCTACTTTCGCAAAACTTTGTCTGACTCTTAATAATAATAGTTTCACTGACTGTACACGTTTATAGACCAACAATAGAAGGTCTTGCGGCGCGCTTGGCGCGCTCTACGCACACATACACACACAGACACATTCCTCTTAAAGCAACCTCTTTCTCGTTTTTTTTTCTTCCGCCTCTTACAAACACGTGTCTCGTCTCAGACGTTCATCCCTCACACATGCTCTCGCTAAATATCGCATTCTCGCCCCGCGCCGTCTGCTTGTCTAACGCACCTGGTACATTTCTCGCTCTCTTCCCTACTAAGTTTTTAAACCTCGTTTTCGTCTCTTCTCCTCGTCTCCACACACAGATTATATCGTTCTTAAAAACTCTCTTCGGTTCTTTTTCTCTTTTCTGCCACGCTACTTATTTACTTCACCCCACAGCCTACCTTCTGACACACACGCTTCGTTTTCACATAGATTTAAAAAATCTAGTTAATCGCGTAATAAACCGCAAGCTTCCATGAGTTTTCTTAACTAATACAAGCCATCACAATCCCTATGTCAACATCGCTGATCTTCATCACTTGGCAGTAAACAATGTGACAATGCAGTAGTGGTACTTAGATTAATATTATATCTTAATAATAATAGTAATAATAATATAGTACGGGGTGGGTGGGTGGTCACACTCCAATATAATAATTAGTCTCAGTGGCACATCACTGTACATAATCACAACAACAGCGAGCGATGGTGGTGACGCAGAGCACAGTTGTTGCATATTATATATTAATATGAAAGAACATTTACAATTACGTCGGATAGAATAAAAGCGATAATAATACAAATTGGTGTGATCTTTCTTTCATCCTTCGTTCTAGCTATTCCCTTTTCTCTGTGTGTTTTCCTCTCTCCTTCTCCCCATTCTCCTCTCTTTCCTTTTTCCCCCTTCAGATTTTTTCCTTCCCTTTTATTATAATTTTACGATGTTGTTGTTGTTGTTGTTGTTGTTTTTTTTTGTTTTTATTTTTTTTTTACCTTTTCTCTCGCTTTATCTATCAATCATGCATTTTGTTCGTGCGTGCGTATTTGTTTTTCGTCACTCACAGGCTTGCAGAAGTTAGCTCCACGACTGGTAGGAGTCTTGATACCATTCGTGATCATCGCCAGAAACACCAAGCGCGCCGGCTCTGCCTCCGAAACCTATGTCACCGCCACCACCACCACTGCCACCATTCACACTCGCCAATCCGTATGCGTTGCCCAGTGGTTGTTGGGCGAGGGGCTGGTTTCCCCAATTGCTCTGGAAGCGACGTTTAGATTCCCCCTGGTTCTGGTGACCCCCGTCAAATTTTCGTTTACCTGCTGTAAAATACATCACACGGTGAGATAATAACCGACTGGCGCGCACAAATCGGGCTAAACAAACTAAAAACAAAGAAAAAAAAAAAAAATTCAAACGGCTCTCTTACACCATTGTGCGTCAAGTTCATTCGCGAAGGTAATTGAGCGACTAAGTAATCTCGAGGATTTTTTTTTTTTTGTCAGTATTATATACACATGAATGTGTTCAAAGAGAAGGTATGTGTGTGTGAATTTGATATGCGCGTGAACTTTTTTTTCAGTGAAATGCGCGGTGAAGAGAAACAAGCTCAAAACGTGCGAGAGAGATCGCGACGGGAAAAATTAATCGGGAAAACGTACAGTCCGGTCTCTCGACCGACTGTACATAAAAAAAGGAATTCGAACGAAATTGTTATTGTGACGCGATAAAAGTACAAGAAAAAAAAAAATGAGACTAACCTACTGCTCTGTTACAATCAGGTGGATGGGATTCGGGTGTCTTGGTAGGGAGGTGAGTCGGATTGTTTACTGCAAGGTGAAAAGAGGTGCGTGAAAATTTAGAAACAGAGAAACGTGCGCAATCATTTGGCAAAAAAAAATAACTAGTTTTAAATAATAGAAACAGTTTTCGAAACCTCTGGGCGGATTGAAAAATCTGTCATTAGCAGATCTGTAAAAAAAGAGAACGAGAATGTAATTAAATGTTTCGTTAACATGTGTCGCGAAATAACGACTCTGTAAAGAAAATACACATGTGTGCATATAAATATTTTTTTTTTTTTACAGAGCGATATTTTTTAGCCGAGTGTTATCGTTTTTTACTTGTGCGCTACAACAAATTTGTGTGTCCTCAGAGTGGATATACATTTGTATAAATGTGTTTCTCTCAACAATGCAGTTTCTTGACGGTATGTATAAAATGCGATTCTCCATTTAGCGGAGAAACATCGGAGGGCGGAAAAGGGAAAGAGGCTCATTTGGGAAATAAATGAATTTCGGCGCTTATATATTAGCGCTTGTTCGTTGGACGTGTCGTTGTTGCGTTTTACTGAATGTGTGTGTGAGACAGAGCCAGAGCAGTTTACTAGAAAATGAAAGCCAATATCAGACTATAAGAGCTTTCTAGCGAAGAGAGCTGCTGTATCTAGAGTACAGACGAGAGAACGCGAATGGAGCACTAAACGCGATACGTGACACCTCGTGTAAAACTGCAACAGCTAGCGCCGCACAGAGATACACCTATGGGTCGCTATGAACTCTACGCTCGCCGGAAAATAGAAGGCAGTTTTGAAAAGGATCTTGCATTAGTTTTGAAATAATTAAAGTTACCAATTCTTTTCTTTTCTTTTCCAAGGAACGTGCCTCGCCTACGTGGACATTTCTTTTGACAATATTTTGCAGTAGATTTTGTTTATCCACTTGTTTTTCTTTTTTTACTCTGGATTTGTGTATTTAAAAGCAACTTGATAAATAAATTCATTCCAGTTTTTTTTCTTACAAAAAACATTGACAGTTACAATTCTTTGCGTCCGAGATAATAAGAAGAAAACAATAAATACAAAATAAAGTTAATATAGAAAGTAGTTGAACTTTTGGTTGGCGCGACAATGGTTGGAAATACATGATGCCGACGCGACGTTTTTTTTTTTTTTTTCGATACAACAAAGTGTGTCACGTAATGGAAATGTGATGAGAATGTTGTACGAGGAGATATTGTGTGTGCCGTGCGATTACGTATTTTTGTAAGAGTTTGGATGTGTAGAAGTGTAAAAGATGATTCATTGTGGAGATACAGACCATCCTCACCTGGTAAACTTCCCTTGGCGCGGACCCCCCCACGAGCGGCCAGTCGCTGGACCCCACGGGCCCCTGAAGCTGCGGGGTTGCGTCCCCCCCTGACTGGCCCACGGGCTTGCGGGCCACCGATTCGGCCACGTGGCACTACTCCACGGCCACGACCAGCCTGACCAAATAACACACACCCAAGTTGTTACCCCTTCTGATTATAAATATTATTTGCACATATATCTGCGCAACATGTCTAACTTTCTCTTAATATAAATCTTTACATCTTCCGTCCTAAATACAATTTAATTATATATGCACAGTATATATAAACATATCTTATAGTCGTGACCCTTAGATGTAGTAGTAGTAGTAGTAGTAGTAGTGGTAGTAATAGCAGTAGCAGTAACAGTGGTAGTGGTGACAATAGCAGTAACAATAAAAGTAGTAATGGCAGTAATGAGATAAGGCACAGTGGACATTAAAGAAAACATGTAGCTGTGTGTAATCAGCTTGTTTTCTGTATGTATATGTGTGTAATACACGTATTTGTGGGACGTACAGTTACGTACATGAGACTCTGGTACGCACACATACGTCACGGATACGGTGCAGGAAGAGAGAGAGACACAGGATAAAACGAGATAACAGGATAAGAAAGGGAGGGAGAAAGAGAGCAAGATAGAGAAAAAAGGGAAAGACAGAAGAACAAAGAAATGGAAGTGCGGCAGAAGAGAGGTAGATCACTTTTCTTTACTAACCACGTTTTTTTACATACAGCAGTAGGAGTTAGCAGAGTTATCCAATGTAGTAAAGCGAAAAGCGAACTGATACTTGGTTGGCGGAACTTTTAAGCGACACAAGCTATTGCACTGGCAGCTAAAACAAAATTTAACCAAAAGGCATATTATATAAATAAGCGGCGCAGCATTGGTTAAGCGGTGGTTAAAAGTGTTGCTGTAGGCTTGCTAAGCGGCGGTTTGTTTTTTTTCTTTATGTACATATGTATAGGGTGTGAAGAAGGTTCAGCGGCCAGGATCAAAAAAGCGAGATTTGTGAGGCGTGCGTAGTGATTACTATTTTAAAAATAGGGAACACAATCCTCTATTATGTCATCTACCTCCGTGTGTGCTCTCTTATACCTACGCACACAACTCTGCATAAAAAATAAAAATGTTACAAATATGTAATTAATCAACACATGTATGTACATGACGAGAATAATATTTGCGAATGTACAGATGTGATCTTTGTTGCTTAGTTCCAACATTGCTGTCTTATAACTTGCGACAAACTTTTCCTCCTATTTAGTAAAAAAAATCGGCGCATTTGAATTAAGTGTCATTTTCTCATCGTGGAGTTGTTTGATAGTGCAAACCGTAACACACACACGTGTGAAACGGTTGTCTATCCACGAACGAGATATAACGGGCGCGCATAAAGGTGTATTCTTTTTCCTGTAAGAAACTGTATTAAAACATATAATTGTTGCACGATGAGACTGTTGTTGTTCAAACGTAGCTCTAGCGTTTAGTAAAAAAAATAAAAAAGTGGTAATGTGTATATGTGGTAAAATGTTTTGAGAACTGAAAAATATATTCAAATCATTGATTGCTAACATTTTCTCGACTCAAATCTGATCTCGTCTGATTTAAAACGAAAGTGTCTGTGTGATCAAAAACTTTGACAATGCAACGCTGTATTATTGTATGCTGATTTTACTTTAACGAAAAATATTCAAATAAAATATTGGCGCATGTAAAATGCGAGATTGTCAACTATCTAATTAAATCGTATGTGACTGCAACGAAAATAAAACTAGAAAAGATTAAACTATTCGCCAAGACTGCCATTTAGAAGAAACTTCTTTGATAAATTGAACATGGCATCGTGAAGTTGAACAAGATCGAACAATGTCTCTCGAGAATAAATAATAATAAAAAAGCAAAATAAAATGTTAGAATGAGACACACGACAATTGGGAAGGCATTTCGCACAGAAGACGTGTCTTCATCTTCGTTTCTTCTCTAAGACAACAAACAACACCACGGCGTGTCATACATATTGTATCACGAACACACAGCACCCAGAGTTAAAAAAAATAACATGAAAAAAGAAACAAAAAATCAAAACAAAAATGTGTACACATTGTTTCTGTTGTAAATAATCGGACACTGCCAAGAGAAAAAGTTGATCGCAATGTCAAAAATTTTCATAAAAATTACAGAGACGTTAAGAAATTTTCGCGCAGGGTGCCTATACGCTCCCTTGTGACATATTTTGGATAACCCTGCAACTTGATATTGAATAAAAAAAAAAAAGATACGGTATCATATCCGAGCCACGAGACGCAACGTCGCTCTATAGAGAAAAAAGGGTAAATTACTTGTATATATATATACATATTATATGTGTGTGTGTGTGTTTGTGTGAAGATGGAGTAACACATTAAATAAATATGATGACCACCATGTGTATAAATCCTGCACACTGCTCTTCGGCATATGTCCGGAAATCTCCTGAAGCTGCGCTAGAGTGGTGTATAATAGTGTTGTGTGGTATAAAGTGGTAGCGGTAGTAGTAGCGGTAGTAGTAGTAGTAGTAGTAGTAGTGGTAGTAATAGTAGTGGTGGTAATAATAGTAGTAGAGTGGTAGTAATAGCATGGAGTATACAGTGTTAGGGGATCTCCTGCAACACTATAAGAATGTGCGATCTTCTTTCTTGAAGGGAATCTCTCTTTTTTTGTTCGGAGACGTAATTATCCCTACGGCTTCCGGTTTGTTTTTTTTTTCTTTCTATACACCGCATGTCTTTCCTGTCTCTTTGATTCTTTTTGTTTCTTTTTGATTCTGTCACTTTTCCTTCTTTCTGTTTCTTTTTGGTTTACGTTGCTTTTCCCGGCTATCTTTAGGTTCATAAAATTTAGAATGGGTCTACTATGGCTCAGATATGATTTTGCAAGCAATTTGAAAGTGGCAATGTGTTCGGATTAGAAGGTCTAAATTTTTTTTTTAGTATCAAAGCATTTGTGGTGTTAGTACATAATATAATATGTATTAGGGTTCTAAAAAAGGGATCTATGTATATGTATATAAATTATAAATAAATATAAAATGCATTCACAGTATGCTCTTAACAGCATTCTCCCTTCCCCCGCGCCTCCACTCACTCACTCTCCCTCTCTCTCACTCACTCTCAATCACTCGCTTTCGCACGTTTTTTTTTTCTTTAATGATTAATTTAACAGAAAAAAACGTTGCGCAATACTTTTTGTACATCTAGTTTTCTTTCTCTCTTCCTTTCTTGCTCTAACTTTGTTATGAGAATCTACAAATAGCTCAGTTAAAAAGTGCCATTACTCGTATACTGTGGATGCGGTGCAGTAAAAACAGTATTATGAAGTCGGGACTGTATATATATATATATATATATACATATATGATATAAGAGAAGTGCATCCTCCTGCGAGTTAATATAGTGAGTATGTATATATATATATATACATATATAATGAAGGTAACGCATATCCAATTAGTCGGCGTTAATTTACACGCTCAGACAGAGAGAATAAAATAATAAATGTGGGCGGAAGGATAATTTTGGATCATATATATAAAAAGTAATAGAGATGGATAGATGTATAAAAATGTATTAAGGAAAAATTCGCGAACACTGTGCCACAGTCAAACTACCGCTGATATAATAACAAAATAAAGAGATAACAAATGATTTCAGGAATAAAAAACGACTTTTTTTGTTTAGAACCATTAAAAAAGGCGACCCACCGGTTGCGGCTGCCTGCCTCTCCCTCTGGCAGGCGGCGGAGGCGGCGCATAATCGAAATAGTAATCTTCGTATCGATAATAGTCATCGTAATAGGGATCACTGTAGCCACCTCGATAATCCCCATAACCGTAATAGTCGTAATCATAATCTATAAAAACACACATTACAAATAGACCCAAGTTTAGACCACGATAATATCCAATTGACATCTTACACTGAGAGGTAATAATACTGTTTTAACATATTTTCTAAAGAAAAGCATGCCGGGAAAAGATAATTTTGAAAATACCAATAACAATAGAAATGAAAGAGAAAGAAAAACAAAAATAAATCTCAGTCGTATATATAAATTTCAAGAGATATTATTTTATAGAAATAACTTTCACGAAGAAAATTATGGTTTCAACAACAAAAGAAATTTATATATATATATGTATATATATAAAAAAAAAAAAAAAGAAAAACACACAGTTGCAATATTGCACGGATAAAACTGCGTGTTAATTACCCTACCACCATCACATTTCCTAAAAACTGCAAGGCCTTTCAAAAATTTTACACCCACCTCCAACAAGAATTTTAATAAAAACAAGTCGACACTTGGAAAATTGATTTAATTAAATATGAAAAATTAATCTCTGGCTTATAATGTACTTTAAACTTACTTCATAAAATTTATTGCACGCGTTCTCTTTACTTAACTTGTTAATCTCGTTACACATTTATTAAAACAAAATTACGTATATTATGCGTAATGCAATTTTGAAAGTACGTAGCACATCTAAAAACAAAATCGTGAGGAAATATTTGCAGTCTGTGTGAATTTTTGTTGGAGAAAGTCAAATTTTCGATTACCTCGCACCACAATTGCGTAATTAAACTCAAAAAAAAAAAAAAAAAGTAAGTGTAGAAGAGGAAGAATATATATATATACACAACACAGTAATTTTCTACCAGCTATCGCATTCATCATTCATCATCGTGGCTTACCTCTTTCCTTGAGAGCTGTAAACAGACTTTTGAATCGATGACGCGTCACACATAAATTACACACACACACACGCTCATGTGAACAATACAAAACAGAACGAAAAGAAACTTGTAAAACTGGCAATGCGTTTTTAATGTGCACTCCCACGAAAAAAAAAATAATAATTTTCACTAGAGCACCAAACACATAGGTAACGAAACAACGCATGCAATTGCCGGGTAAAAAAAAAAAAAAAAACAAAAAAAAACAAACAAAAACAAAAACAAAAAGAAACAGATGTCACACAGGAAATGGTAGTGGTAAGGCAATAAGTTCCATATATTGTAAGCACCTATTTAACATATACGTCTCACGTAAATAAATTATATACTCTCTTTTATATATGTGTGAAATAACTGAATCAAAACCACAAATAGAAACTAAAGAAATCAATTTGTCTCAAAAACTGAACGCAATTTTTTATGTACACAAATTTACAGAAATAATACGTTGCAAAACTTTTATTACATGAAGTTCATTTTGCGTCGATTTGCGTGATATATGTTATGGTTTTTCTTCGTGAACACTTCTCACTACAACCTTACGAAACGATTCCGTACGTAAAATATATCGAGTAATAAAAATTATTGATGTAATTTTGCTACTATCCAAACTACGATCTTTGTGTAATTTTGTCGAGGCAATTATTGTTCTGTGTTTACACATGTGTCACGTATTTTAGAAAATTCTACCGTTAGAAAAAAAATTTACACGCACATACACGCGATGTAATTAAAAGATTAAATTTGACAATTTAACTAGAAACCACTTTTAAATCAAATGAACTATCATGTAATGGTATACCCTCTGTATTTCTCTCGTTCACATATTTAAAACTAGCCTATCATGCGCAAAGCCAAGGTATGTAGTGAGATAGTGAAAAATTCCAAAAGCATGCAAGATGTATATAATATTCGTATATTGTAACTCTTTATCAAAAAAACTGTTACATATTATTAATTTATGTTATAAGGTAACGTGTATTTAAAAATATTTGTCCTTAAACTTAACTGAAATAAAAAAAAAACAAAAAACAAAATTAGAATCGAATTTAATATGAGAAATGAGATTTGTTTTACTTCGCAAATTAAACCGTGTTAAGGACATTTAGTACACAACAATGATTCAAGCTTGAAAATTATGCCTGAGTAATATTCTCGGCAGTTACGTGAAAAAAGTTATCGGTTAAAAACACTGCACTATTTGCCATTTGAGTGGAAACTGTTACTCTCCGGTGGAACATGAACGTGTTTTACCAATAACACGTACGTGGTGATGTATAAACGATTTCTTAATCCTTTCGATGCGACGACGAGCATTTTCATCTCAAATTTCGAGAAGAAATTTGACCCCGTTTTTAATATCAATCGCGTTCTCACTGTGCGTATGTTACAAAAATGTTAAATAAAAGAGAAGCGGTTCTCTTAACGCCGTGTACGCAGCAAAAGAATTAAAAGTCGTATTGTCACGAAAGTTAAAATTGCTGTTCTAGAACAAACAACGTTTTCGGCAAATGTGCGGAATAATTGTTTGCGGCGTTAAATAAAAGAGAGAAAGGATTAAACACTAACCGTAATCGCCTCGTCCCATCTGTCCACGCATACCTGCGCCTGTGCCACGAGGTCCTTGCGCGGGTCCACGAACCGGCATTGGTCCTCCCATCATGCTCGGGTGAGAAGGAGATCCACTGTAATAAGGAAAACTAAATAACGCCTTTAACTTCAATTCCCGTCAAATAAAAGCGACAAAAAATGCAAATGTAACAAAGAATAATAAAAAGGAAGGACGCAGAGAGAAGGAAAGAATAAATTAGAAAATAAAAAAAAACCGACAACATACCCGCCCCTGCCCTGTAACGTCTGCATCATTCTTCTTTCCCTAGCGCGCAGCATTTCTTCTTTCTTCTTTTTATCCGATGGTGGTTTTGCCAATGAAACTTCTATGTGGGATCCACCCATTTCTTTACCGTTTAATTCATTCATTGCCTTGAAAATCAAATCACATAATTTAATTGAGTCAAACACACTCAAAAAAAATTGATCGCAAATCGAACTAAGTGATTAAAGAAAAAAAAACAACTTATTTGTTTACCTTAACAGCATTGTCTCGGTCCTCGAAGTGTATAAAAGCGTAATCCTTGATCTTTTTCACTCGTTCAATTTTGCCATATTGTTCGAAGCTTTCCTTTAACTTCTCCTCGGAACAATCTTGCGTTAAATTTCGCACGTAAAGAACACGTACCTGAGAAAAAAAAAAAACAAATACAGAGATATTTGTTCTAAATGCATATTGTCCCGTTATTTTATCAATCAAGTGCAATAATATTAAGAAATAAAATTATTTTCAATAATATTGTCAATTTACTTTGGACATGGTTTGTTCGTCTGGTTCTTCTTGAGGATCGGCCCAATCGACAATAATATCACATCCCCAAACTTTGATACGTCCCGTGCTCAATCTTCGCTTGGCTAAAGAAGCTGCTTTGTGAGATTCATACTCCAAAAAGCAAAAACCTCTGTTCTTCTTTTTATCATCCGGTGAGCTGTAGATAATCACCTCTGTCAGGCCAGCTATATGTTCGAGAGAGAAAGAAAATCATACACAAGGTGAGAAGAGACCTCGTTCGACTTACTCGAGATAATATATGTAATATATAAAATTTTGAGGATTTTGCTACTGTATAAAAAAGAATGGAAACTGTGCCAAAAAAACACAAAATATATAGATCCAAGCAAGTTAGAACGTTTTTTTGTATACAATAAATATTTGCCATGAGAGATTTTGTTCTCACGTAAAAAATTATACTAATCGCAATCGTCTGATTAAAAAACTTAATCCCGAGATTAACTCAACACAACGCGCATATATGTTCAAATTATTACACACATCCCTTACGATCATCTAACGATAACAAAAAAAAATTATTATTATTAATTATTACGTCGGTATTGCAATCGACATGACTGCTATGTAAGTTTTTAATCGAAAAAACGTATACGGTGTGTCGTTGTGATCACGTTTTGTGGCTTCAACAATTGTTTTTTTTTTCTTTTTTTTATATAAATATGTAAATTTTTTTTTGAAATCATATACAAAAATACTTCTTGACAACGAAAACAAAAGGCTAGAAAATAAAGCGAGATAAAAAGTTTTTGCATTTGAATCTAAATTTACTGCATGACTCGTTTTTTTCAACTTTTGCATTACATTTGACAACATTTTCACACAAATTACTCAGAAGAGATTTGTCAGATAAAATATTTATCCTATTTTCGTAAACAGCAAATATTTTTCAATTTCTTCAAAAAACTCGAAAAAACTAACACACAACCCCAACACAGGAAATGAAAGAAATGTTGCAACACCAAATGCTCACAATCTCTGTCATGATAAAAATTTCAAATAAGAAAACAAAAAAAAAGCTACGAAAAGAAATCCAAAAAAAAAAAAAAAAAAAAAAAAAAAAAAAAAAAAAAAAAAAAAAAAAAAAAAAAATAGTCTCAATCACCTACAAGGAGAAAGATTATAAAGCTGTAAATATATTCGTACACTATCTATACAGACGTATGTTCGAAATTATTATTCTTTGTTGTTGTTGTTGTTTTTTTTTCTCTCTTCTTCTCTTTTATACCGCGCGCACGAAAGTATACGGAGAAAAACTCTGAGAGGATTATTCAAATGATTAAGGCACATAAAATACTATTATGAAGTAGAATAATTCTCATGCTATTAGAAATCTCATGCATTGTGACTCACTATGTGTACGAAAAAGATCGACACACTTATAATAAATATATATATACTGTTCCCCAAAATTCTCTCTCTCTCTCCCTCTCTCTCTCTCTTTCTCTCTCTCTCTCTCTCTTTCTCTCTCTCTGTTTCAGTTATCATAAGGTATGGGGCCAGTGTGTTCGTATTTATTTCTCGATCTGAACTCATCTATTGTGAAAAGAAAAAACTCTCGGAAAGTTACAAAAACACTTGTCAAACGACGAAACAATTTGACAATTTTCTAGACTTAATTTCTATTATCTAATGTAACCCCTCCCCTCCTTACTCTCGTCTCTTCTCTCTCTCTCCTTCCTCTCAGTTTAAAAGCTACGCTAGTTTGGGTAACAAGGCATCTCGTATGTACGTGTAATAGATTTGAAATAAGCAATTAGTTACGTAACAAAGTACACGCACCCACACGTATACATGTATACGCATGTAAACTGATGAAGTCTTTAACCTTACGTAAGGATTATTCGCAATTATTTAATTAACAAATGAACTTACTTCGCAAAACTTAAAAGTATACAAGAAAGCAATTTTCTTAGAATTAAATTTCACTTACTGGAACTAAGTTTTGTCTTAATTCGATGCTTTTTTTTAATCGGTTTGTCACATGTAATTAACTACAAATTGAGACGGACGGACGAGTAAAATATAAATGCTTTAGATGCCTTGTACCGATTCTATATTCGATCATTCTCTTAAAATTCTAGATCATCCCTATGCCTCATCAATTCAACAACATTTCTTATCGTCTTTTTTTCTTTCTTTATCTCCTCTCTGTGTCCATATGTTAATGTTATTTGCAAGAGTCTTACGCACACACATACAAACTATAGTGATGATCTGACACATTCCTACAGTCTCACTCTATCTATCTTCTTCTTCTTTTTTGTTTTTTTTTTTTTAACAGATTTTACATTTACACATACGTCGTACATACGCGTGTCTTGTAAATGTAAATTCTCGCTATCTGTGAAAAACAAAGACGTATACACAATAAAAAAAAAAAAAAAAAAAACGCATTTATTCATGAAATGTGATTGTTTCTCCATCGCAATGTTTTTTTTTTATATACACATGATTTCTCTACGATACAATAAAATATTACAAAATATTTTCGAAAATCAAGAGATGAAAAGTAGGAAAAAAAAAAAAAAAAAAAAACTAAAGTAATTTAACAATCACAAATAAAGAAAAAAACATTATCACGAAATAAAATACTGCAAATAAAACTCATATATTTGCGCTTTCCATCTCTTTGAATTTTGTATCCCAAAACCGTGTATTTAAAGAATTTCCCAGAGAAATGCATAAATAAAACGCTTTGTTTGTGTGTGTGTGAGTGAGTGAGTGAGTGAGTGAGTGTGTGTGTGTGTGTATGTGCGTTAGCAAGAGAAAATATATGGGATAAATGGATTGAAATTACAGCTCAATTGGTTGTAAGACACAATTACGCAGTTATGATTGTCTACTTATCGCAAGAGTGCAGATCTTGCAAACGAAAAGTTATTAGAAACAAAAACAAAAAAAATGAAGGAATCACACACATGATGAAGAGTTCACATTTGGCTTGTGTAATTAAAAAATTTCTTCAATATTGCACGAAAAAAAAAAAAGACATTGATAATCGTGTAAGAAAAAAAAACAATAATAAAATTTCGTTGCTCTGCGAAATACCAATTCGTGAAAAAAAAAAAAAAGAGAGTTTTGTTTCACCTTTAAATGCAAGAGGGCTGAACCCACCTGGCACCTCTGCTATATATCGACTAGACAAAAAAACACCTGATTCATAATAAGACAAATTTTTTTGTCCCATCATTTTTCTCTCATCGAACTTCCATCGGTTACTGCTCGCTGATTTAAGGACAATTGTCAACTTACGTGCGTGCTTTGTAAACTCTTCGAACAAGTCATCTCGGTCTCGATTCTTTGGAATATTTCCCACAAACAAGCGGTGATTGTTATAAGATACGGTAACACCAATCTTTTTCCCTTTCCGAATCTCATAATCATTCAGCTGTAAGAATAATGTGGAAGGAAAGTGCCAATTAAGCTTGCCATTTATAATTTCACCTGCTAATTGGCTGTCTGAACGTGGGATTTCATGAAGCGTCCTTCGGGGGGAAGGGGGTAGGGTAGAGAGATAGGTAGGGTAGGTAGGAAAGAGAGAAGGGTGAGGGAAATGTGGGAACTTTTTTTTTACACAAGAGGACTCGAAAAGCATGAACTCGAAGGATTGGTTGTGGGATCGTGTGGTGAAGTTTTGGAAGTTTGATATCATACAGGGTAGGTGGGAGTGCCTGTCCGTTTGTTAGCGAGCCAAACGCCCCAGCGGTCCACGCAGATCCCCCATACCCCCAAGCTTGAGACTTAGTCATGAATCACATTTGCATATTGCAAAATTGCAACGGTGCAAGAGACAGCATGTATATATATATATATATATATTTTTTTTTTTTTTTTTTTCAACAGTACACATAAAATAATTCTTAATCTAAAAGGTATAAGACTTCCACATTTTCTCTTTCCATTTCCTCGCCTCTTTTTCACCTTTCCAAAAAAAGATGACGAAGAAGTTATATCAGTAGTAAAGATTGATGAATTGATCAGTTGCGCAAAATCAAGGAACGAGAAGGCAAGGGATAACAAGGTAAACGCGCGCATGTATAGAGTAGGAAGCAGATAAACTCATAACTCAACCTATATATATATGCGAGGAAAAAAAAGATTTTGGACCAGAGAGGTGTTACTGTTCACTAATAAACCGAGAGGCAAGGAGACTGACTAGAACTGAAGGTGCCATAAGGTAAATTCGCAAGATCACACAAGTTTTTAATGTGATCTTTGGATGCTCCATTTAGTTCCATACCATCTACAACCACTACTTAAAAGCTACCACTCTTTAAGTTATACAATACAGGTAGACAGGTAGGTAATAGGTAGGTAGGTAGGTACACACGCCTCGAATTCACTTTACCTGTTAATTTACCAAATTCCTCCAAGATCTCCTCTTTGCCTTTTGACTTTGGTATGTTCCCCACGAAAAGACGTAGATTAGGAACGCTAATGTTTACTTTCAGACTCTTGCCGGGTTTTATTTCGTGATTATCGAGCTGTGGGATGAAGAAAACAGACACATGCCTAATTTTGTTCTCCAATGAAGTAGAATTTCGTGGTTTTGTTTTGTTTTGTTTTTCTGGTTTTTCTGTTTCTTTTAAGATAATCACAACAGCACATAATGGCGAAATTTGTGAAAAAAGTTTTTAAATATATACGTATATAAATTGCAATTTAATATATTAATTATTAAATATATGGCGTGAGTTCACGAAAGCGAGAAAGTGGCATGCGCTTTGTTGCTCGAGTCTTCACAATATAGGAAACCGGCCTTGTTTCACGTCTATCAAGTACTCCTGTAAAACAAATTTTAAGCCTACCAATTTTCAGAAGAATTTTGTTACAAAAATTGTCACTGTCCAATGAGAGCCAACCAATTAAGTAAAATATACCCCTAACCAATTAAAGACCACACAATCATTTGTAAATTTTATATCGGAAAGGTTCTCCACTCCCAATTTTGCCCACTGAGCAAAGAGGAGAGCTGGAAAAAGAAACTCATCCATAGGACGTCATTAATATGTATATATATATATATATAAATGTATATATATATGTGTTATTAAATAATTGGGATCAGTTGGAAGTAACTGCGTACTTAAACACGAGTAAATGGTCAGGGACATATACATGTAAAAACACATACATTATGTGGATTGTTCCTAGCTATATATGTATACATAAATACATATATACGAACATACATACATACATACGTACGTAAGTACGTACGTACGCACGCACGCACGCACGCACGCATATATACGTACACACATACGTTACAGTCGCGCGTTCACACACACATACGTACATACATACATATATATGTACATTCCAAAGGACAAAAATTAAAAAAACAAATTAAAATGACAGATGTCACGTAAACTTTTGACAATATAACAGAACGTATCTGCTTTAAATCTACTGGGAGAAAAAAAGAAATTGTAATAATAATATAATGTGATGCAGAACAAGCCACATAGGAATACGGTAACAGTCATTCGAAATGTTCAGCATAGAAAAACTAAACTTTTATATATTATGAGAGGATACACTCAACTTGGATGGATATACATATATGTATATGTATACACATCCATCTGTGTGTGTGTGTATATACGTATATATACGGATATACACACACAATGTTATTTTCACTACGTTCTCTTAATTATCAGAGATATTACAGCTCAGCTAAAAAAATAGTAATTATTAAGCCAAAAAAGCTATGTAAACATGTCATAAAATATGAAAGTTGAGACTTGTTTTTTTTTTTTTTAATATCATAAACATTTCGAAGGAGCGCTATTTTTGGTAGCAATAACAATTTTGTAACATTCCTAACAATTTAAAAAAATAAAAAAAAGGTTTAGATTATCCATGGCAGCATGTTAACAACTAGGGCAAAAAGAAAATAAGATTATATATCATGTACGAATGTACCTACACAATAGGAAAATAAAAATATAATAAAATGATAATGATAATAACTATCTAATTAAGGAAAAATATTAACATACCTCTCGGACAGCTTGCTGTGCAGCTTCCCTGTTTGTAAATGTGATAAATGCGTATCCTCTGTTGGAACCTGACATGGGATCCATCATCAGTCTTAAGTCCCAAATTTTTCCGCATTTTTCAAACAACGGGATTAACTCGTCTTCATACATGTCTTTTGGGATTTTGCCACAAAATACCTTTGAAAAAAAAAAAAAAAAACACTTTACTATAACACAAAGTAATAAGTTTTTAAGAAAATAATCAATTGTAAATTGTAGTGTAATAAATATCGCGTAAATTTATTACGCGATATTTAAATCTCGACTTATAGTTTTAAATTATAAAACTATATAATTATTTTTATGTTTCTTAAATTCTTTTGTTTAACATTCATATTTTTACGGTTACTTATGCTATAATTTGTAAATTTGCGCAAATTTACCTCACAACCAGTGCCAGGAGTTGGACCCTCCCAATTCGGTGGGGGACCACCATATTTTCTTTGTCCAGTAGTTACATCCAAAGGATATCCTGTTCTTTCCAGAATCATCTAAAACCAATGATGTGTTTTACCGATTAGAACATATCATGTATAAAACCCTAAATCAGTAAACAGATAAAAAGATTGAATGTGATGTTCACACAAGTAGAAAATACAACTTGAAATTACCTTAATTTTGTCCTCATCTGGGGCCTTGGGAGTCGTGCTAGTGCCTGTACCTTGACCAGCACGACTTTTTTGTCTATATGTCTTCATTACACCACAAAGATATGCAGATTTATTAGATACATGTTCTAGATTGGACTCTAGAAATTGAGTTAGCACATTTAGCGCACCGTCAACTGGAAATTCCTTTAAAGCATCAAGAGCTCTTTCATCCAGATCAACATGAGCTAATTTCCCCGTTTTATAAATGTCATCTAGTTTGGCAGCCACTTTCTCATCCAGTCCATATTGCATAAGTTTGTTAAAATCTTCTGTCCGTTCCACATTTTCTATTTCCTGCTTTTCTTCCATTTTTATTTCCCCATTCCCTTCTGCCATAGCTGAAAAAATAACACTTGTTAATAAAAATCGTTTATTTTGTTGTGTACTAAGTTAATTACTATTATCTCACACACACATACACACTGAAAATATTGTGTTTCTCAACCTTTCTTTTTCTGTAAACTATTAAATATAAAAACTCCTATATAGTTATTAAAAAATCAGTTATATTGTTTAACACACTTTATGCCATATGCATTATTTGATCAGAGCAGATTGTTCTTCTCAAAAATAAATTTATAGTTTTTATATAAACAGAAAAACCTTTACAAAGTAATATAATAAGTATTCTATTAAATTTTGCAAATAAACTATATGTGATATAAGTGGTAAATCATATGAAAACATTTTGTATGAGATAAAGTACAAGTTTACATATGTAACAAATATATTAATAACTTATTAATGTTTTAGATGTTTTTATAAATAAAATGTTTCAAAGAAATTTGAGAAAAATTTTGACTCACAGAAATTCAAATAAAATATTATGACAATAATGGAGACAGTCAAATATCTTTGTCTCAAATGTCAAAGAAAAGAATATAAAATATTTTAAACAATATAACCAAAATTTTATTTCTCAAATTCGAATGTTTCTTAATACTTTTTTGAATTATAAAGATTTATTATGACATAATCTGAGTTGCAGAAGAAGAAAATAGATAACTGGCTCTCTTTCTCGCACTTATATTCATTCATATATATAAACATTTCCAATTAATCATTCAATTACGTTACTTTTATTTATTATTTTTATAAAGATCAAATAAATATTCTTGTATCCTGGTGAAGTGTAGATTCATCAGGATACAAGATTCAATTGTGTACGCACAAAAAAAAATGAATAAAATGTTTATTAACCAGATGCAAGCAGAATAACAATTACGAGAATTAAAAAAAAAAAAAAAAAATTACCACTAAAAAATATTAACAGCACACAGAGACATTTGAACATATTTATCTAAGTATTCGTTTTATATTTCACTAATTTACACTCACTAGTTTAACTTTGAATTGTACGTTAACAAACGATTTGAATAAAAAAAAACTACACAACTAGCATATGCCAGAAATTATAAAACTTGTTTGCTCGCACGTACTTAACAATGTAACACACACGTATGAATAGGAAAGAGCACTTATCACACACACACACACACACACACGTAGGAGTGGAGCAAATGCAACGTCTTGCGCTCGCAGAAACCGGAGCAAAAAAAAAAAAAAAAAAAGAAAAAACAGACTCTAAGAACGGTTGCAAATTTTGCAGAAAAACGGAGAACGAATAATTAAACACGCGTGAGCGCGGGAAACGGTTCGTTCGGGAAGAGAAGAATATGAGAAATGGACAATGAACGGCATGTTGTACGTTGATCGATGTGTGACACTGGGCGCGCACACAAGGCGCGTGTTGAATCGGTCGTACGAAACGGCGGGTCGGTCGCGGTATGGCGCAATCGCCGCCGTGCCGAGAGCGACGGAATGTGGCGCGCGGCAAAAAACCGATCCGAAAAATCCGGATTTTTTTCCCCTCACTGCGTGCGGGATGCGTGCGCGTCTCTCGCGAGGCGTTCGTTCCCCGCGCGCGGAGAAATTCGCGCTTTCTTCGAACGCGCGGCTTACGCCGGCCGGCGAAATTGCGTGCGTCGGGACACGACGACGACGACGACGACGACGACGGCGGCGGCACAAGACACACAATGCACCTCTATATGCACTCGGAGCATATGCACTTGGTGACGTGTTTAACCTGACTTAAATTTTCCCACTTGGCGTGCGGCAAAAACGGTCGCGCGGGCAAAGCGTTTTCGCGAGCCGCGCGATTTTTATCTCGCGTCTCCCGAGCGAACGCGCAACGAGAACAACAACGTGTGCGTGTTTTTTTTACCTTGCGAAAATTAAAACGGACAGGGGCTCTCCTCCGTGGGCGAGGGAAATGGCGACAGACGTCAACGTGATCGCGGAGACTACGGGGTTCACAAAACGACGCGCAAAGATACGCTCGAACCCAGCGACACGGCCATCTTCCCCGTGTGTGAGAGCGGCGGGCCCGCGCGCGAATTCTGATTGGCGCGCGCGAAATAGCGCGACGAGGACGAGGAGGAAGAAAGTCGCGCCGCCGCGAGGAACGAAACGCAATTTGTTCCTCGCGTCGAATCGGCGGAAATTCGCGGGAGACCGATTGGATATCTTGTTCGTTCGTTCGCGCGCGCGCGCGCGCGAGAGGAAATTCGAGAACGGAAATATATATATCGGAAGACGGAAAATGTATCTTCTTCTTCTTCTTCTCTTCGCGCGTTCTTCCAACAATTTCGCGATCGCCGATAAAAAAACTTTTTATCTGCGGAGCGAACAACAACGTCACACACGACGATAAACTCGTCGAGGAGGTTAGTCTCGCGAAATCCGGAGAACCAAGCGCGTACATATACTATATATATATATATATAATTCGTCGACGTAAACTCTCCGCCATGCACATCTCCTCCGCGTTGCATCTCCCGCGCGCGCGTCCGCTCCGTTTTCACGCCATTTGTGAAAATGCGAAAATATTTCGAGCGCGCGCGCGCGCGCGTGTTTCCACACATATTCTCGGAAAGCGGAGGAGGTGGTGAGAGGTGAGGCTCCTCTTCATTCCGCGCGATTAACGCCGAGCTATTTCGCCGGCCTGTTACCGGCCGGCGAGAGAGCGCGCCAAAGCGCGGAGCCATGACGGAGAAAGAGAGAGAGAGAGAGAGAGTGTCCTTCGATGCACCCGGTCTCTATCTCCGAGAGAGAGAGAGAGAGAGAGCGCGTGTAATCATTCAAATCATCTCGAACCCGATCTCGTCACTCTCGACAACGATTCGATTTTGCTCACCGATTTTGCTCCTCTTTGTCTCGCGTCGTCAAACTCTCACGCGCGAATTGCCGTCTAAGAAGAAGAACGATTGCAACTTTTTTTCTTTTTTTTTCGCATAACCTCCACAATGCACGTGAGACGAAAAAAAAAAAAGGGAGGAACACGGACGGCGGGACTGACGGACACACTCACACACACGCACACGAACAAGCACGTCTCTCGCGCGAGCAAGAGAGATGATAGCGGCGTGGTCCTCCCATAAGTCATGGAAGGGCCAGGAGGACAAAGGCCGGAATTAAACGGAGAAGCGGACCGAAAAAAAAAAAGAAAAAAAAAAGGGGGAAAAAAAAAAGAACAGGAGCGCGAGAAGGTATTATTTAGTAATTAATGTAATGGATATAAAGAAAAAAAATTGTGTACCTGTACCGAATTTTTACTCCTCACAGGTATCTCAATTTAGCAGGTTTCGTCGCGATGACAAAGAAACACTAGTTCAAATCGACGACGGCACCACCAAAGAAACCAGTCAGGATGATCTCTCGCCGGGTGTCATAAAACTCATAATTAATCGACACGTCACAGTTTTTTTTTTTTTTTTTCTTTTTTCCTTTTTTTTTTCTCGCAAAAAGCGCGTTCCTCCGTGCTTCACAGGTTGACGACGACGGCAGCGGCTGCGGCGGCGGCCGCACTCGCGGTTACGTTCACGCCGTTGCGCGTAACTGCACCGAGTGATAAGCGTAACTGATGAACGCGGCGAGGGAACTTGGAACGACTGCGGCGACGACGACGACGACGACGACGACGGCGACGGCGACGACGGACGACGACGACGAGGGAAACGCTCCGTTTTGTATCGCAGTCTTTTGTGGCGCGCGATGATATATATTTTTTCTTTCTTTTTTCGAAGAGATGCTTGTTGAAAATTTAGTCGCGTGTAGGCACTTGTGTGAAACGACCGACGACGATGCGGGATTAAAATTAAATAGACGACACACAAATTCCGTGAATTATTTTACTAGCGGCGGGTGCGGTAGCGGCGGCGGCGACGACGACGACGATGATGATGACGATGACGATGACGATGACGATGACGACGAACAACGGCGACGACGACGGCGACGACGACGACGGTGGCGGTGTACTGATGATGAGGACGACGAGACAACGGTGAGTGGTGTTTAAGGCCCGGGCGCAGTGTTTTGATATCGTGTAGTGCCTACATAGCCGTGATGCATAAATTGGACTGTCTGGCTGAAAGAGCGGTGCAATGGTGCAAGCCCCACAAAACCGAAACCAGTTTGCTTACGCTCGCCGCTGCGAAGTCGCGCTCCAGTCCAATCCGATTCAACCGTTTACCACTCTACGCGGTGTACGCGAGCCCCGCCTTAATCAGGATCGTTGCGAGCCACTCCGGTCACCCCGGGGTACACCCTTGTTTCGGACTGTTTTCCGCTTCCACAAAGCTCCACTTTATATAATTCTTCAAATATCCTTTTTTGTTTTTTTTTTTTTTTTTTTTTATCAATCTCTTTGCAGCGCATTGCTCGGCTGCACAGAGAAACTACGAGTGTATGCGTGTATTGTATTATAAAATTTCATTGCGCGCGTTTCTTCAGATACTTTAACACTTTTCAGATCCCGTGTCGCACGGTGTGAGAAAACGCCGGATTTTGGTATCGCAACCAATCGATCGAATAATATTTCTTGGATGTGATTGGAACCTTCTCCGGATGACCTCTCGATGAGTCTTAGAAGCTATTATTACAAAAAGCCTGCGACAATTTTTTTTGGTTCGCGTGAAGATGCGGAACATGCTGCGAATTGTCAATCAGCAAAATTTTATAATTCTCCAATCTTCTCGACTGAGAGAGTGCGTTGACGTTCTGGGCCATATATCTACTTCGGATCTACAACGTGGTTTGAAACACACCTAAGCCAGAGAGGCCAAACAGAGAGGAGCAATCCGTAAATATTTTAAAATATATTATTAGAATTATTCATCGCGCGATGTAACAAAATAACGAAACACATTTCCGGATTGATCTCGTATTTTTTTCGCGGCTAGAGAAACTTAAAAAACAACTGTACCTAAAACTTACGAGTTTGAAAAACTATATTCGGTGTGCACGCGAGCACAATGAAACTCATTTGATCCTTTGTGGTAGGTCCGTGTGCGAAGAAACGACTTTCGCGTTTTGGAGGAAACCTCGTACGTTTTTTTTTTTTTTTTTTTTTGAAGTCCGCAAATATTGAGTAAGCGCGCGAGGTAAAAGGAAGCTCGCATCTCGTCTCAAAAGAGTAAAGGACCTTCGACACAAAAGTGCAACGAATTGGCGGAGTCAAGAGGAGAACTATATATCGCGCGCGGTCTTCCTCCTTCTCTCTGATCGCGCGATTTTTGCGCGAGCGCGCGCATCCCAAGCTCCATGTGTTGGCGCGTGTACACGCATACGTGTACACGAACGCATGCCTGTGACCTCGGCGCGTCTCAGCGCATCACAGACAGAGAGAAAGAAAGAAAGAAAGAGAACGAGGGAGAGAGAGAGAGAAAAAAAGAAGATGATACGATAATGTATTATTTATTAAATGTGCGTTCTGGGAAGATCCTAAAGCGCAAAATGAAACGGAGAACAAAAATCAAAGTGACAAAACCAACGAACAAAAAAAAAAAAGACCGAAAATGATAAAATGATAAAGAGGGAGGGACGATCTCGCGACGCGTTCTTAAATGATGATACGGCCCTGCGGTGCTAACCGTAAAGCCCGTCTGGTTGGGAGCACACGCACCCGCGTCTCCCGTCGCGGCGCGGCGTAGCGCGGTTTCGTCGAGGCGCGTAAGCGAGAGCGAGACCGCGTCAACCGGCTGGTTCGCTCTCTCGCTTGCTCGCTCGCTCTCGTCGCTCTGCAGAAACCTGTTCAGCCTGGAACTTGTACTTTCTTGGCGATTATTTTTATCTGTTGAGAATCGCGCGCACGTACGTAGGCAGGCGAGCGAGCGAACGAACGAACGAGTAAGCGAACAGGCTGGCTGGCTGGCTGGCTGGCTGGCAAGCAGGCAGGCAAGCAGGCCGGCCGTGCGCGCCGCGGCACTGCCGGAAGCGGGCCGTCCTGGAAACTATCAACGGCCGGACACGCCGCGCCGGCTGGCCGGCTACGAGCGCACTTCAGGCCGCACTTTCGCCGCAAAAATTCAATTCTCCCAAAGAGTACACCGCGCATCGCAACGCCCTGTTTCTCGCGTTCGCCCTATTCCTCGTTTCTCGTTTCCCTTCTGGAGCATTCTCTCTTTTCCCGCGTTCTCTCTCTCTCTCTCTCTCTCTCTCTCTCTCTCTCTCCCTCTCCCTCTCCCTCCCTCTCCCTCTTCCCTCCCCCTTTTAATCCTCTCTTTCTCTCGTCTCGTCGTCTTTATTCCTCCACTTTCCCCATTTCCTTCTCCCTCGTTTTATCTTTATCTCCCTCCCTCCCTCCTTTTCCCTCCGCGCGTCTCTCGATTCCTCCTCGCGCGCCGTTTCTCTCGACGACGCACCAATTGGCCGTCTGCGTCGTGCAGACAATGCACTTTTTTGCATAGCTACGGCGCGCGGCCATTGTCGTGGGAGGTTGAAATTTCAGCGAATTCCTCACTCCGTTTCTCGCCGCGGAAACTTCTGTGTTACTGGAAAAAAAAAAAAAAAAAAAAAAACTACGGGGGTTTTATTTAAATTTGTCATTTCCCGTACAAATCTCTCACGGGCAATGGTGAAAAAAAAAAAAAAAAACGCGAAGGCGAAATAATCGAATTGTACACGACAAGTACAACTCGTAGATTTTTGTAGTTTTTTTTTTCAATAGATTTACGTTACGGTTTCTAAAATAATTGCGCTGTTAATTCCCACACACGTCGTTGTTGCAACGACAATGTTTCTTGTTGCTACAAGCCGGTTAGATTGGCAGCAAATTCACGCGAACAAAGCCAAATGAGCCGCACATTTCGCCAGCAGAGAGTCTCGCTGATGTTTGAAACTATCCGAGCAGATCCGTCGAACGAGGATCTTTTTATCTTTTTTTTTTTATTTTCGCCACTGATCTATGCGAGTCTTTATTGCTGCCAATCTAACGTCCAGAATCGGTGGACATTTTGTCGACAGACTCGCAACAGAGTCTTTCTGTTGCGCTTCCGCCGACGACGGTCTCAGACCGTTGAACCCTTTTTTTTTTCACAACGAAGTAAGTCGCAAAAATTTGTTATTTTTATTTTTTTTTTTTCAGACATTGCCATCCAGGAGGAGTGTCTGCCCCGAACATGTGCGAAGCATCGAGGCGATGATCCAGTAGCTGAAAAGAGAAGATACTTTTCTCGACGACAATACTTAATGACCGCGTCGCGCAGGTTTAGTTTGTTTCCCACGTTAATATCGACGATCCACACACCACGAGTGTGTAGACAGTGAGGAAGATTTTTCTCAGGAGCCCCTCCTCTTTCCACACCGTCCTTCTCTCTCTCTTTATTCTTCGACTCGCCTTGTCATCTTCCCTCTCGCGCTCGCGCGACCACTACACACATGCATAAACAGCCGTGGCATTAACATGAGGCCGCAAGTAGAGACCCCCAGCGAGTCGGCGCTGTTTCCTCCACGCTTCTTCTTCGCACAAACTTGTTTCGTCGCGCTGAGAGAAATTCTCCCTTTTCCGCAGATAAATAGGGGTGAACCTGTATTGCAAGACAATAATACCACCGCCCGGTTCGAGAACGGCCGTGTGTAGCGTGTATAGAAGAGTCTGAACGAAAGCAGGGAGAGAAGAGAGCGCGCGCGCACACACACACACACACACGGGAGAGAAGGAAGAACCCCTCTTCCTTGGAAGAGAGGAGAAGACCCCTTGGGGGGTCGTTGGACCAGGGCGCTATATGTGGATTATCATAATAAAAGCCGCCTAAATGTTATCTCGTATTAAGTCATACTTTTGTTTTCCTCTTATGGCTCTGGGAACTTTGCCCGCCTAGCAAGGGAAGTGCATTTTTTTTTTATTTCAACGCTACATACATGCACTCGAAGAGAAAGAGAGAGAGAGAGAGGAACTACAGCCGGACGACGCATCAGTTAACCCTCTCAGAAAAAGGGTGGGATGAGTCGAATTACACGAGACGAAAAATTGCCAGATGGAAATTGTAATAAGAATCCGCGGGAGAGAGAGATCGGACGACGACACGGATTTGTGATCGTCTCGAATCGGGAGTTCCGCGCGGGAACTCGTTTTAGAGGTTAGCTCGGGAGCGCGGGAATTTCGAAGAAACCTGCTCCCGAAAGAATATCGACGAGAGAGACCCGACGAAAGGTGACGAAACGTTTGGCCGGGATGAGCGAAACGATCATTCTTGTTGAAAATGTTTTATTAAGTCTGAGCGAATTTTAATCGAAGACAATCTAGCGGATTAGAACCGATGAAGCAACATGGGGAACAACTCGAGCGAATTTGCCAATCACAGGTGAGCGATGTGGAGAACACACCTGGAACGTTTTCTTCAAAGCTTGTCTGTGATTGGTCAATTCGCTTATTGCTTGAATTTTTGTCGCTTGTTTCCCAAGCCTTTACGTTCATCGAAACTCAACGTTAACACCGCGACGTAACTTAGTCAGCGGTGACGTCATAACTCAAGACTCTAGACAACGCGCACAACTGGGCGTGTTTACCTCGGATGCGCGCGTGGTCAGCGCAATCTCGCTCCCAATAAAAACAAATAAGGTCTAAGGTAAGATGATTCGAAGATCTAATCACTATTTTTGATTCACATTCGACACGCGTCCACCACCACCACAAGATATCCGATATACACACTTTTCGATTTAATTAATAAAATACTTTCCTCACGCACGCACAGGCTTCCGTTAGCGGTGGTGTCACGTTCGAACGTCTATGAATTGGTTCTAACGACGATATCCCAATTAGTATCGGCACTTGTAGAAAAATGGGTACGGATTGTCACGCGACGACGCCGATTGTCGTCGCCTGCTTGCTGCTGGGCGTTGCCGTGGTCGGCCAGTACGAGTGGCAGACTCGCGATGCCTTCGACGACATTCGCATGCGAATGGACAAAGTGAACGCGGATAATTGTCAGATACAACGTCTCGATAGTCTCTTCTTGCCCGAGGATACGGTGTCGCATTTGCCCAGGATCGAAGATATCCACGTCAACCCGATACTTCCGAATCGTACAGCTCTGCTGCATCTTCACAACATGGCCCTCAACAGGGGCTTCTTTTGGAGCTACATCTTACAGTCGCGATTTATTCGTCCGGCTATCAACGACACCTACGATCCTGGCATGATGTACTACTATCTGTCTACGGTGGCCGATGTCTCCGCAAATCCCTACATCAATGCCTCCGCCATCTACTTTGCGCCCAATATGTCCTACTCGCCGTCCTACAGAGGTTTCTTCAACAAGACCTTCCCTAGATTTGCCCCACGCACTTTCAGAGCGGACGACTTCAACGATCCTATACACTTGGAAAGGATATCAACCATGAACACGTTTATTGCGAAAGACTTGGGAGCGTTTCCCGCTGCCACGCTCAGTTCCGATTACACCACTGACTTGTATCGCATAAACAAATGGTACGTTCGCATAAAAAAAAACGTGACTTCTTTCCCGGTAAAAATTATATCTCACATATAAAAGTAACGAATCATGTGTTTGGCAGGTACAAGGCGTGGTTGCCGGACAAGGTGAACAAAAGACATGACACTAAAACAACTTACAACGTCGAAATTCGATACGCCAATAACACAAACGAAACGTTTTCCTTCCACGGCCCACCTGGTAACGAGAAAAAAAAAAAAAAAACTAAAAGCTAAAAGCTTGATATTCGCGGACGTTGTTGTATTCGATCGTAATTAATTTTTTTAGGCGACGAAGAGCTTTCGGGACCCGTGAGATGGATTCAACCCTACTTCGATTGTGGCCGATCGAACAAGTGGCTTGTGGCCGCTATAGCGCCGATAGTGGACATCTATCCGCGACACACGGGTTTCAGGCACATCGAATACCCAACGTGAGTCTCTGCAAAAGTCTGTCTGATAGAGAAACTTGCTTGCATTTACACGTTCGCGCAAATTTATATACCGTGATTGTATGTTAGATACACCGCCATCTCGGTAATGGAAATGGATTTCGAGAGAATAGACATAAATCAATGTCCACTGGGCAAAGGGAACCCCGGTCCTAACAGATTCGCCAATACCACGAGATGTAAACCCGACACAACTATAGTACGCATTTAAATTGTTGCGACACAACAAATCGATCGAGTTTGTTAATTGATGATTTTTGAACCTGGACGTTTCTTTTATCTACAGTGCGAGCCGTTGCACGGTTGGGGATTCAGAAGAGGCGGCTATCAGTGCACGTGTAAACCGCGTCACAGACTGCCAACTGTCGTGAGACGACCCTATCTCGGAGAAATAGTGGAAAGAGCCACTCAAGAACAGTATTACAACGGTTTTGATTGCCTGAAGATCGGCTGTACGTATTTTGCCCTTTTTTTGTTTTCTTTTGTTCACTTTTGTGACGTCAACAAAGCAATCTAAAACTTAACTTCCGCAGGGATTCAAAAGGACCCGGTGCTGTGGGAAAGAGCACCGCCGCACATCAGAGAGAGATATCTCGAAGAGTATTATCATTACAGAAATTATTCGACCGGTCCGGCCGCGTTTCGCGATCCGAAAATGAACATCGACCAGGTTTTCAAATTTATGCAAAGTGTGACGGAAACAACATGCAAGAAGTACGTAACTATTTGCACTTCTTACGATCGGAGAATAAAATTTTAAATTTCAAACGTTTATCTTGATATCACACTCTTTGTCTTTCTACTAGATTTGCTCCGGAAGATTTGAAATTACGTGGCGACGTTAGTTACGGGGCGGAAGAGTTTTTCGAAAACGAGGCAAAGATGGCGACTAGATTGGCGAACTTTATCAGCGCGTTCTTGCAAGTGTCAGATCCGTTGGAAGTTTATTCCGGCAAAAGAATAGCCGACAAACCGCTCACGGAAGATCAAATGATTGGGGAAACATTGGCTCTGGTGGTCGGGGGTGGGTCGAAGATATTTTCCGCCGGCACATTTTGGGAACGTAACAAATTCACCAACAGAACGTTCTTCGCTCCGTACGCTTACAAGACCGATCGATATACGCGTAATTTGAAGATCGAGGACTTGGCCAGACTCAATAAAACAGGTAACAAAAAGTTCTCACACACTTTGCGTAACCCCCCAAAAAAATTGGAAGTATTTTTGTCTCGCACATGATTAATAAACTTATTTCATAGTAAATTATACAACTTATATCAAACTATTCCGGCAAAAGACACAATATTTTTTTGTTATAATAATTTAGAAGCTTTGTTTTTACCGGTCAACTTGTTTTATGCAAATTGTTAATTAATTAACGTGATTTCCAGAGGAACTGTACACGAACAACGTTTACTTCCAAACGTTAAAACAACGTTGGGCGACAAATTTTGACGAATTGGAGAAATACTACATAAAAATACGCGAGAGATTCAACGAGACCGGGGAGCATTTGAAAAAATATGAACATTATCCAACGTATTACAGGTAAATACAAATTTATTAATTGTCATTGTGCAAAACTCGTGTGTCGAAGCTGACGACTGTATTTCATCGATGTGCACCGATGTGAGCGATAAAATACAGTCGAGCATTAAGGTATAAAAGGATTACGTTCCCGAAGAGAGACCGAGGGGGGGTAGGAAGGGGGGGAGGGAGAGGGGAATCTCTCTCTCTCTCTGATCTCTAAAGTACGATTTATTCTAATGTGTGGGAACGCGGCGCCGTCTGCGTAGGGCAGCGAAGCTAGATCACGGATACTGGACAACTCCGTACTTCGATTGTAACGGCAAGGTGAAGAAGTGGTTAATTACCTATGCATCCCCGTTTTTCGGCTGGGATAGCTTGAAGGAGAAACTGGAATTCAAGTGAGTATCTAGGTGTTGGTGCACGATTACACGCGAGAGACGCGTCTTCCCTTTCATCCTCATATTTCTCTCTCTCTTTTTTGCGTGTGTATGTGAGAGAGTTATTGAGCGAGTGAGTGAACGAGCGAGAGAGAGAGAGATGCACTTTACAGACACATGGAACTAGTTTTGTTATAATAAAAAAAAAAAGCTGAAGAAGAAACAAAGATTACATTTATAATATTAAGACGTTCTTGCACAGAGGTGTTGTGGTTGTTACCATGGACTTGGCTGAACTTCGTATAAACCAATGTGATGACAAATTTTACAAACCGAACGCGTTCATGGGTACGCACAAGTGCGACAAAAAGACGTCATATGTAAGTCGACATTAATTTCTTTCTCTCCTTCTCGTAAAGTATTAAGAAAAAAAACAAGATACTTCGATAATTTACGTGTTACAATAAAAAACATATTTTAAAAACTAATAAATTTGTCTTGCAAATAAGTTTTTCTCACAAATGTATGTTTGTGCCAAGAACGAGTTCTAAACAATGTATATGTTTCCATAGTGTGAACCCATTCTTGGAAAAAGATTTGAGATGGGTGGATACAAATGTATGTGCAAGCAGGGATTCGAATATCCATTTGAAAGTCCATTCACTTATTTCGACGGACAAATAGTTGAAGCAGAATTTTTGAATCTTGTCAATGACAACGCGACGAGGTACTCACATTTTCTTTTACAAATCAATTATTATTTAAAATTTCTGAAATTAATTGTTAGTATAAATATCACATAAGATTTGACGAATATATCGTATTTAACTTATACAAATGTTTTACTTTATGATTTTCTAGGTACGATATGTACAAGTGTAGATTAGCTGGTGCTTCGTCAAATGAAGCTACTTGGATACTACTGTTATCAGCGCTAATAGCATTTTTTCTAATGCAAAGAAGATGAATACAAAATGGTTGTAGTACAAAGCGTCCAGTTACTGAATTTTTTTGTACTTTGTGACGATATATCCGTCCATTAAATATAAGATAAATTATTTTTAGTGCAAATAGAGAGACGTGTGTGCAAGTCAGGAGGGATGTTAATCTCAGATTTTATACATACATATACAATTTTTATACATGTTTCAACAAGCAATATTTAACCTACAAAAATAGAGCTTATCAAGTTAAGTTTCTTATATAAATAATTTTAAAAATATTTCTCAATAAATCGAGTGAGCGTCTTATCTTGTACGTAGAGTGTTTACTGCCAATATTATACTTCTGATCTGATTGCTACGGCTTATATTACGATAATGAATTTAAACACATATACGACTAAGATCTGATACACGTATTTGTTAAACGATATATAATTTTCTTTTTTATATTGAAATATTTTGTATCTTTTACATGTGAAATAAAGATGTTATATATATTATATATACAACGCAGAATTGTGCCATGCCAAAGTGCTTTTGTATAATTTTAGTGATTTTTTACCGAAATAAATTTGATGAAAAAGAGCAAGGGTAATTTGTTATATATATTTACATTTATTGAATTATCTACATCTCTGTCTCTCTCTCTCTCTCTTTCCCTCCTTTTCTGTTATTTAACGTAAAGATTATTTTGCAATATTGTGTTTTGTGCAAATGTTTATACAACATGTATAAACATTTGTTGATATATAATTGCTATTTTTAATATTTATTTCTGTACATGTTCTTCTGATTTAATTAGATAATGATATTTGATGAATCTACAACCTTGTGTTATTTGTGCACCTTCATTGACAAAGTGACAGGCGAATAGAAGCATGTTGCGCGGCTGTACCTTGATTGCAAATCTCATGAACATTGCTGAGTATAAGCATAAAGCTGAAAAAGATTAGCAAATAATCCTGAAAAATAGGTATTCAATGAGCAGTTGAAGAAGATAAAATATTAACTAATAACACTACAGCGTCTAAAAATGTGACACAAGACAACTGTGTTTCTTTCTGAAGAAACATCTCCTGAAAAACTCGCGAACATGAGATTCAATTTGGGAAAAACTAGGGGGTAACTAACCAAAGGTCATTTTTCCGCTGATGTATTTGGGGTCTCTCTGAATGTCGGCAAGAGCAGCGATCGGTATCGCCCAATTGGCAACGGGTCCCCAAAAGTGCGTGCTGAAAAAAGAACATTACATTGTTACAAGAACGTGGCAACGATATTTGATGGGACCACAAAGTGTGCTTGTGCGTGTGTGTGTGTGTGTGAGATACTCTTTTATACAGATGACGACATAACCACTACTCGCCTCATGAAATAATCGCGAGTCTCCTTGCTCTTCAAGACCTTCATTACACGATTCATCTTGGAACGATTGAACGTGCCCACTTCAAACAAGATAAAAAAACCACACTGACCGAGAGCGACTATCGTCAACAGCGATCAACAGATCTATCTAGATTCAACCAAAGGGGTTTGACTCGATCAACAAGGCACCGAGTGTGGCATGTGTGTGAAGGAAAAAACGGGCTCTTGGCGCCGATTACGCATAAAGTTGCATAATAATCGCGCATGTACAAAGTAGAGTTATTGAGGAACGTTGTAAAGAACATAATTGCGGCTCCGTACAATAACTTTTTTACACGCTTTTAGAACATTTGTATACACATATATATATATATGTAACTGTATGTACACACGCATTCATCTCAACACATCCGCGTGCGCATTTCAAACGATCGACTTTTAAAAAGTGAGGCAATATATGTGTGCGCATGCAATGAAATGTTTTAAACGTTATCTCGCTCCATCGTATGTGTTTACAATAAAATTATTAATTTTTACAATAAAATACCGACTCATCGACCTCGATTTAGAGCTTTGAACGAGATGTTTTAAACATTTGTTTCCTTATTAATTTAAAAAATTTGATTCAAAAACAAGATCGCGAATATTGCGAATATTCTCGCGCGCGACTTTTGAAAAATTTACATAAGAATTTTGCATTTAAATTACACGGGAAGTCGACGCGCACAATATTGAAAATATTGTTTGAAAAAATTGCGGAATATGCAAAAGAGAAAAAGAGACGAGTTTGTAACGTAATATGCATACTCTGTGTTTGCTGAGATAAATTTGTTTTTCTTGCATTACGCAATAAATAGAGTGTGTGATCTTTTTCTAAAACAAAAAACTCTATGCGAGTACGTTTACAAAAAAGTTGCGCGCAACTTTGTTTTCAATATATTGTCCTCGTACATGTATTGTCATTTATTATTGTGTCATCGAAGATGCGTTCGGATAGCTCGCTTTTGTTTTTTAAAAATGTTAGTCTATCTTTGATCCACATTTGACGAGCAATAGACGGATAAAATGACGCTCTTGATACAAGAGGAAACTATCCCAAACACACAGCTGAAGAAAAATAGATGTTATATAAATGTATTATATTTATGTAAGTAGATGTTACATAAATATAATACATTTATATAACATCTATTTCTTCAGCTGTGTTTGGGATAGTTTCCTCTTGTATCAAGAGCGTCATTTTATCTGTCTATTTGCTCATCAAATGTGGATAACATCTACTTATTGTATATATACATATTTATCTTGTATAAATAAATATATATATATATAATACGTAAGGTAAATATCTCAACGGCCGGATTTTTGATTAAAGTAGTAAATCAAAATATATGTAAATATTAAATATAACAACTCTCAAGTGTAAGTGCACTTTCTCGAATATTGATTTTCTAACTTTGCACGTACAAAATTTATTTTTTTAAATAATTATTTCTCTCGCAAATGTCCGGGGTCCAGGTGCTCGCCCGGTCATTGAGATTTTTTACCTTGCGTACGTAGAATAAATCACATGCGAAAGAGAGGTACCAAAAAAGTTCATAATTTATTAATACCACACTGGTCAGGTATATATATAGGTGTCTATACAAATATTTTTTGCATAGACGGTAATAATATTGTGTGTGTACATACATATTCATACATACATACATGCATGCATACATACGTACGTACATATATATGTATACATACGTTTGGCGTGTATTTACGTATACGCGCGCGTGCGCACAAACACACACACACAACACAACATATATAAAGCTACTGCTAATATCTTACAAAATTCTACACTTTTTACAATAAAATCAAAGAGAGATTACTACGTTGTGTTTTTTTTTTTTCTGTCAGTTACTTATACCATTATTAAATCCGCAGGGTTTACATATGTATATATATGTGTATATATATATATATATATATGTATGTGTACTTGGCGCGTCAGGACGCTGCTCGCGTCTTTCTCTCTCGATGCCAAATGCATTGACAGAATCTTGTCAAGACTTATCAGATACGAAACGCGCATACACACACGTATGCGTTTCATATATCTCCATATCATATACTCGGTATAGTTACAAAATAAAGAGAAGCCACATACATCTTACTCCGTGCACAACGTGTAATAAGTATCAAATAGCTTTACAATTATTATAATAATATTATTATAATAAGTCTCGGATATACTTTAACAAAAAAAAATATCTCCTTTCTCTCTCTTTTGTCTACAATTCTATAAATTTTATCATAAATAATTTTGTTTCGAGTCACTTGCTATATGTGCGAGAGAGAGAGAGAGAGAGAGAGAGAGAGAGAAAGAGAGAGAGAGAAAGAGAGAGACATCATCTAATATATATTATTTTTTATATATTTGCAGCAAGACTAGTTGAAACACACACACACACACACACACTTTGCGTACGCTCCACACACAAGATATTTAATTACTTACAGTGCAAAAAAAAAAAAAAAAACGGTACCGATTGTTATCACTGACGCTAGTACTTATATAGAAATATATACACAAAAGTATAGCGTGCATACACAACAGCCAGGTGATTACAAGTTTCTTTTTTTTGTTTTTTCGTTTTACTCTTTTTGCGTATATATATATATATATATATAATTTTTTTTTTTTAAATATATAACTTAAAAATTCTGCGATCGCGTTAAACATTTTCCTTTGCATTTATGGACCGCACACAGTGTAATATTAAAGCTAAAGTGATAAACATAAATTATAACGCGTGTTTATCTTGAAATATGTACAAATTCAAATGGTAAATTAAAACAGTTAATTTTGTTTGCGCACATACACATATTTTCTTTCTCTCTCTTTCTCCCTCCCCCCTCTCTCTCTCTCTCTCTCTCTCTCTCTATCTTCAAACAGAAACGTAATAGTTCGTCAAATAGTGTGCAACTTTTAAAGATAATTTAGTTTAAATAGAATATATACACACACACACGCAATTTTGCAATTTTATACCCCAGTATGACTTCAAAGACACGAATTAACAACAAGGCACTCAATAATTTATTGTAAGAATTCCGATATGCAAGTTTGTCACAGTCACAACATTCGCGATATATAATAGTCTTATAATTTACAGTGTCCGGGCAATCTTAAATATTATAACATCTGCGCGCGACGCGCATTCCCGTAATGTAAAATTTAATCTCGTCGTTGAAAGGCACAACTTTGAAAAATGACAGGCGCCTCCTCTCTCCCCCCCCCCTTCAGACAAAAAATGCACTCTTAGTTCAGACATCTTGTAACAAGATTTTTACAATAAATACGCAGACACAAAGACGATCGTTATTGTCGCAATATCGTCGCCGACACTTTCCTCGTCTCTCGTTAGCGCCATTTCTTGCTAACTGTGAAAAAAACATTACGAGCAATGGCAAGTTCACTCAAAGATAGATGCGCTAGAAAAACTATTGTAAACGTTGTATATTAAACTGTGTGTAAATTGTGTTACCGTCCGTCTTTTCTCGTCAAAGACCGATATCACTTTTCTCGGCTAGAAGAAAATCTCATCGTGCGACACAAAAATCTCTCTTTTTCCGCCATTCGACTCACACAAGTGTTATATATTGCTAAAGTTTTTTTTTTTTTTTTTTTTTATGTAAATCTCACAAATGTATACCGTAACGCGATAAAACGGAGCTATAAAAGACGATAGTTTTTTTTTCCTTTTCTATGTATACAACGGGGGACTACATAAAATTCGCAATACACACACCTCTTAAGATTAGAAACAATTATATATTAGAATATATATAAATATATACATATATATATAATATATATATATATGTATATATATATATATATGTACATGTATAAGGGGGGTGATATTCGAAGCTGCGTTACAACATTACGAAATGAACACATTACATCCATTCGAAAATCTATATATAAAATAGATGATTGATATTTTGTTCTTTTTTTTTTTTTTTTTAATGTATCGATTCGTTTTATATATATATATATATATATATATAGTTGTATATATTTCTATATATAATATAATAGTAATTTTTTTCTTTAAATTTTTGATATACAATTAGAAGACGATACGTTATTGATATATTACATATGTAGATATTACATATGTGTTAAATAAAATTGACACGTTTATTTAAAAGCCGTATTATTCTAATCATGTGTAACAATATCACAGTACTTGTTTGAAACATTATTAGGAGCTCGATATATTTTTTTTCCAATGCCAATACGAACGAATAAAAAAAAAATTTTTCAGGCAAAATGGTCTTTCTTCTTTTTTTTTTTTTTTTCAATAAATACGTCGTATTATACATGTCGCTTGTAGCCAACGATTATTTCACTTCTTTCACTTATCGTCGCGTCGAAATACGTTATATTCGTTGATTTGTAGGGTATATGTACACACAACGCACACTCGCACACTAAAATCGCATATCGTTAAAAAAAAGAAAAGAAAAAAAAAAGAAAGAAAAACAGGGAGACAAGAAAAAGGCAATTGCGCGAATCGAGAGACACGACTCCCGTTCGTTTCAACGATTCGTGAAAAATAAATAAAAGAGAGAAGACCGAGAGCGTTTTTTTTTATCCCAATATCAAAGAGGCGTGTCTCGCTTCTAGTTCGTTTAAAGATCACGAGAGATCCTCAGAAGAGAAAAGAGAAAAGATACGCGATAGGTAACTGCAACAAATCCTGCAAGTGCAATTGTTCATTGACATTATCTTCGATAAAAGGGGCAAAATATATACGCATCTTCGCCCCACCAATATCGAAGATCGTCGTCGAATAATTAAAAATTGTATTTACATAATTTATTGTATTTAGTTATCATCACATCTTTATCTCATTTTATCTTGTGTGCGACGCCTGAAACTTTTAGAACTGGAAGCGAACGTAATCTTCAATATGTTAGACGAAGAACACTCGGTTGAAACACCTACCGGAAACAAAGTGTGTCTTCGACACACGGACAAATTTTGTATCTTGATTATGTATAAATTGCACACAATCGTGTGTGAGAGAGAGAGATCAGCATCTGATCTCTCTCGCGTATAGAAATTATTTATATAACCCGATACCACGCGCGGGACTTTTTTTTTCCCGGGCTTCAAAGTCAAGGGAGATCAAGTGAAATCGTTTTCAATCAGCGTATAAATTAGCAAACCATCTCTGTTTGCGTTTGTTCTATACACAGTCCTGTTCTACGCAACCTTTGAGAATCCTGTAAGATTTAATGCGAATTTAGTTGGCGATGTCATTTCTCTCAACCTGTTTTTGTAAATTTAGATGCGATTTGATTTTTTCACACACAAAGAGATTTCTTTGCGAAACATATTTATGCTTATCACGTACGTAAGCTTTGTTAAAAAACACACCGCTACTAGTTTGGAGATTCTCTCTTTCTCTTTTTTTTTTCTTTTTTTTTTCGTGTAATTCCCGCGATAACAGTTTGAAAATATAATACATAGGTTTATATTTTTTTAATAAGATTAATTAAGCAGGTCTTCTAAGTAATGCAAAAGTAAAGGTTCACACTATGTTTAAACGATTAAATTTTTTCACGCGTTTTCTCTCTTTTAAATATTCATCTGTTATACTCTATTATATTATATATTCAAGCAAGAGAAAAAATTAGACGTTTCCGACGATTATATACTTTTTATACAGTAACTTAAGGCTCACTTTCGTCAACTTAATTAGCCTAATGTCATACGTAAACGGGACCTTGATTGTCGTTATCGTCCAAACTGATTCGACTAGGATACACCGGACCGCCGTTGTCGTCGAAAAACCGTCTGAACGTGAACTCGAAGAAACCGTGAAAGGGCTTCCCGTTGTCGAGCAGCTCGTCCGATTTGTTCGAGTCCGATGACTCGGAGTTTCGCAACTTGTCGGGATCCACGGGATCGAAGTTGCTCGTGTCGGTCGGATATTCGATGCGCGGTATGTGAGGCGCCATTTGACGCCGTAGTCCTTTCTCAAAGTCGATACTCGCGAAAAACGGATGGCTCTTAACCTCGCTCGCGTTTTTACCCAATCGACGATCCGCGCCTACGCATAGCTTCAGTATCAGATCCGTGCTTTCGGGCGACAGCTTCGCTTCCGGCGGTATGTGAAGAGTCGTCTCCCAGTTAATTACCTGAAACGAAAATTCAAACCACGCACACACACACACACATATTTAAAATTTATTTGCGAGAAGAAAAATGCTTTTGTGTTTAAAACTCGTTTAACTTTGAGAGATAAAATGTCTATATGTACTTTGTACTGAGTTTCAGCGGGCGTATTGGCAAGAAACGGTGGAGAACCGACCAGCATTTCGTACAAAATTACTCCCACGCTCCACCAATCGCACAACTGCGTGTATCCCGTGCGCTGTAAAACCTCCGGCGCTATGTAATTCGGGGTCCCGACCAGAGAATGCGCCAAACACCTCTGATGTTCCCTGTGTCGTCTGCGTTCCAACGGTTTCAACTGTATGCATTGACACTCGTTGTTCCAATCGTCAGCTGGATCCATTGAATCTTGTTTACCATGACCTGCAATCGCGCGGATTGTCACACATCATCATCACAGTCTGTTTCTTCTCTTCTAGCGCGAGATCTTACAATTCTAATGTAATGAGCAAAATGTAACGTTTCCTTCGGCCGCTAAAGAAAAAAGATAGAATATAAATAATTACCGTTTTGCTGGTAATATTTAGAATTGTGAGTCCAGCGAAATCCCGTACAAAGACCGAAATCGGTCAACTTAATGTGTCCGTCGCGATCTATCAGTATGTTGTCCGGTTTGATGTCTCTGTGAATAAAACCCATTTTGTGAACGCTCTCGACCGCGCATGTGAGCTCGGCTATGTAAAATCTGGCCAACGGTTCTTGGAAAATACCGAGTTTAATCAACAGCGACATCAAGTCACCGCCCGGTATGTAGTCCATTACAAAGTATAAATTGTCTTTGTCCTGAAACGAGTAATAGAGCTTGACGACCCATTCGTTGTCAGCCTCCGCCAATATGTCGCGCTCCGCCTTCACGTGCGCCACTTGATTGCGATTCAACACGTCGGCTTTGCGCAGAGTTTTCATCGCGTAAAACTGATTTGTGTCGAGCTTCCTCACGAGCGTGACTTCGCCGAACGCGCCCACGCCGATCGGCTTGATCTTCGTGAACATCGACTTGTCCATCTTCGCTCGCTTCAGTCTGATGTAATTTGATTCTTTTTGCGACAACATCTTTCTCATCATAAATTGCGCCTCCTCGCTCAGACCGATTTTAGCCATCTCGTTCTCCAACTGCAAGCGCCGGTAAATACGTTGCCTGTGCGACTTGATGACGTTCTCCACGTGTTGCTCCATGTAGAACTTGAACGCCTGAGGAGAATAGTTTTTCACCTTGCAGTCCCTGCGCTCCTCTTCCTTCTCGATACTCATTGTTTTGCGCTCGGGTATGGGAGACTGGTGCTTAATTTTGTAAGACGAGGGTGCACCACCACCCGCACCGCAACCACCAACACCGGGACCGATAATACCACCACCGGAACCACCACCGGGACCACCGCCGGGACCAGGACCGGCATCGGTGGCGGTTGTGCCGCCGCTACCACCACCGTTATCACTACTACCAGCACCGCCACTACCGCCGCCGTTATCGCCTTTAGTACCGCCACTAGCTTTGTTAACACTGCCGCCATTGCCGCCGCCGTTGCTTTCGGGCAAGGACGAGTGGTTGTTATTCCTCGCGGACATGGCGGTCGATACGACCTGTGGCAAAGGTAGCGCATCCATTGCTCCAATATGGCAATTATCGGCCGGCGAGTATTTCCTTTGGAGCGGTGGATGATGAGCAACGGGAGAGGTTCGAGTAGCGTTACCGCTCTCCATCGTGGAGGAGACTGTGTCTTCAGCGGGAGTGGTGTAAGGCGGTGGCAGTAACGAATGATGCATACCGCGCTGCGCTGCCAACGCCTGCATCGTGGTTGCGTAGCTCGGTGGTTCCGTCGTCGGTATGTTGGCAGGCGACGTGACGATGTTGCTCACAGGTGGATAAGTAGGTGGTTGTTTCTGTTGAATGGACGACGCGTAAGAAGGCGGCGGCGGAGGCGTGTTGCTGGTGGTGGTGGAAATTGACTGCGGTGCCGTGGGCGCGATCGCGGTCTGTAACACGGGTTTCTGCACTTGCGTGCTCTTGACCGACTGCATGATTATCGGCGGTTGCGTTTTGGCCTGCCGTGCACCCCATGCTTGTAACGGTGTCGGACGTGCCATCGACGTCTGCGTGCTGCTGGGCGGTATTGTGGATACGGTAATGGGACTGGGTGTACCGGCTGAAGTAGGGCCCGAGTAAATGCCCGACGACGGGCTCTTGCGATAATCTTGCTGTGACTGCGTGGGACTCTGGCGATTCTGTATGGAGGCGCTATAGGAAGGCGGTTGAATTGGTTGACCGGCGGATGAGGATGGAACTATGGGATACGGTGGTGGCGGTTCGACTTGGGTGCTCGTGTTGCCGCCGCTCGTTTGATAAATGCTGAGCGCCTGCATCTGCTGCGTCAGTTGCTGCTGCACCTGCGGCCCGTTTTGCACAATCATCGGCTGACGACTGCCCGAGTTATTGGCGTTCGCAACCGGACTGGTGCCGCGTTGCGGTGGATTTACCGACGACGCGGTCCCGGACGCGCCGGCCGTTGTCACGGCCGGTCTCGTCGGCACAACCGGCGCTGGTGACATTCGTTTGAGCATTTGCTGCATATTTGTCGGCACGTTAGGCTGATTGTAAGGCGCGTGCGGCGGCGGCGGCGGCGGTGTAGAACTACATCGTGGAGGCGGCGGTGGCGGTGGTTCGCGTTCCACAAAATTACTGGGCGAGTACTGACGACTCAGTTGCGGATGCGTGCCGAGTTCCGTAAGACGCGGACTGTCGGATCGCGAACTACCGGCCCCGCTGTCCAAAGCGGGACTGCCGCGTTGCAAATTCAATTCTCTCTCGAGACTCGGCTTTCTCATGAGTTTGGTATTGAGTTTGCTGAAACCGTTCAGAGATTCCCCTTGAGCCTGCTTCAAATACTCTACTGCCGCGTCCAACCGCCATCCTGCGAACTTGAGGGCGCGCAATCCTATTTCCTGTAAACACATATCATCCCACTCGCTTTTACTCCTCAATTGCAGTCTGGACAAAACTAAAATAAAACAGCACTTAGTTATTGCATTACGGACATGCAATCGGCATCGCAAATGCTTTAGCGCGTATATAAAGTCGACACTACTGTCTCGAACAATAAGAGACATTATTCAGCGCAAGGCATTTGCGGAATGTGGTATTGTTTTTTTCACCTCTGAATAGCCCATGGCTAACAGTTGTCCTAACGCTTGTCGCTGATCCTGCTTATCAGCAGTGGAACCGGAAGCACCGGATAGTCCGCTGAGACCGGAAGCGGAACTGATCCCGCTAGTAGTGGACACGGTAGAAATGGTGCTAGCAGCACTCGAGCCCACCTCACCGGCTCCGCCGATATTGGCAAACGGTAGCAACGAGTTGCGAATCTCAGCTAATGCCTTCTGATGGTATCCAGAACCACGTGTGCTTGATTTGCTGACCGCGGGCGGATTCATGGTAGCCCATGCTAGGCCCTCTGGGACCTAGCTTTAATCTGGCTGTGACACATACATATAAACTTTTACATACAGACAAGTACAAACATGTATCTACGCAATGATTGTGTTTGGCAAAACCGCAATTGTCGCTTTTGCAATTCTTTTTAGTCAATAAAACCGAACATTTGCGATAGATTTACAAGACTGATTCATGTTTACAAGATAACTCTAGGTTGCCAACATTTTTCATAAAACTGACCAATCATATTGCTCGCTTAGTCGAACCGGCTAATGCGATTAATCAAATTTTTCCTGTGTTCAGCTTTGCTCCAACTGGGAAAACAACTTCTCATTTATTTTCGCCATAAAACGCTCCAACTTTTCTTCTTCTAGACACGCTAAACCAAAAATATGTGCAAAAAGATGTACAGATACATGTATATAAATGTTTTCTACACGTATGTGTGTAGAAAAAAACAAAAAAATAAAAAAAACAACGCGCTATTAACTCTCAAGAGAACATTTGCATTACACAAATACGTTTTATCTTTTTGTGTTTTTCTAAGTCAAAAAATATCAACTCTAATTGAGAGAGATTACAGATTTGTCCAACGTGTCGAGGACCACAGAGTGTTGTATTGTCTCAGTAAACAACACTGGTGGTGCGCTATCTCGTGCGGTAATTTATCAGTAAACAAGCGTGTCAAAACGCGTCAGATAAAAAAAACAAAAAAAAATGTTACTAATCTGCTTGTGTATACAATTCATTTTCTCTAATTAGTTCAGATTAGAATCATGAGATTAGAAAAAAAAAAAAAAAAAAAGGTTCAAATCTGTGTCTACGCGTCGTCCCCGATAAGCGTGGAAGGAAATATGATAAACAATATGATAAACAGGCGCAACAATATCGTCAAAAGAATGCTTACAAAATAAAAGAACGTTGCTAATGGACGCTGCTCTTCAGCGTCATTGTAGCAGAGAGACAGTGCGGTGGTATGTACCTCCGGTGCTCGGGTGTGTGTGTGTGTGTGTGTGTGTGTGGTTCACATAATTTCTCGGAGACGTTACGCGAACCGAATGTTTCTCGTTTACACGCAACAAAAACGCGTTTCTATCACCGGACCGCGTTAGCCGACGCGGGACGGGGATACAAACAACGAGAAGGGTCCGGACCATGCGCGAACACCTTGGTGATGAGTACTACTACCTACTTGACAACTCACGGGGATAAGAGACCGATCACGCGCGTACGTTCATTTCGCGGAGACGTCGTCGAGGCGACGCGGCGACGGCGACGACGACGACGACGACGGTGGCGGCGGCGCACGTCGCGACCGGCATCTTCGTGGGAGCCCGAGCGAGCGAGAAATAAAATTCTTGCGCGTGTGTGAGAGCTAACCTATGTACGAGCTTTTATTTCTGGTGAACGGTCCCTGTTTACGTACGGGATGCGACAGGTTCGTCGTAAGCGCACGACGTTCGCAAACGCGGTGCTCACGGCACGACGACGGCGACGTGCGGCCAATCGCCGCGATTATCCGCGCAACGAGACTCATCCGACGGGACGACAATGTTGGTGACGGGTTCGCGACTAGCGACAGCAGCAGCGACCATTTCGAACATATTCCCGTCGTCGCTCGCTCACATCCGCGTCCCGCGCCAAGACATGTGACGGACCGACCAGGATCGCGCAACGATCGTAACGTGGTCGCGATGGTGTACGCGCGCCAGGAGTGCGATCTCGCTCTCGATCTCCTGGTGCTCGGTTACGTGCGGAAGAGCGATCAGGACCGATCTCGAGCGAACACAGCAGGCAAACACATACACATTGTAACATGCATTTTAGCATATTGCGCACACATATATACGCGCATTTACTTGTGTGTCAATCATGTACCATACGTTAACGCGCGTGCTCGTACGATCCCTACATGCGTGGGATTTCTACGCACGCGCAGACTCACGCGAGTCAACACGTGATTGTTCCCCCAAGATTGTCCCCGCTCGCAACAAAATTTTCATCATCGCGCTTACACGCAGGAATAACTTCAGGCCGCTGCGTTAAGCCGCGGACGCACGATCGAGCTGGTCGGCCAATCGGAGACTCGAGCCAGTCGGCCAATCACAGACCAGCGCTCTCTCGAGTGTAAACCGCGTTTAAGAAAAACGTCGGCCCGCGATTGGTCGCTCGCGTCTTGCCGCTTTCGGGTTTGTTCGTGTGCGTTCCCAGGGGTACGTTCAAAAATCCTACCTTAGTTACTAAAATGTTATATTTTACGTCACGTGTACTATAGTTTTTGGTTACCAAGGTAAGATTTTGGAACGTAACCCTGGCTGAAGTCTCTGACTATAGAAACGTATATTCACACACACGGTCTGAAAACTATAGCATGTGTACCAACATCCACCCAAAACTGCGCAAAATTCTAATAATAATAATAAAAATGTATTATTATATATAACATTAAATAATACATATTTTGCATATAATTTATTATATATTTATAATATTATACTTTATATTGTATTATATGTATTATACACATACTACAGAGTAATGTCACTGACCTCCGCCGCGCAACTTTAGCGGGGTCACTGACCTGGACCGCGCGGCCTTGGCGGGGTCACTGACCTCGGCCGCGCGGCCTTGGCGGGGTCACTGACCTGGGCCGCGCGGCCTTGGCGGGGCACTGACCTCGGCCGCGCGGCCTTGGTGGGGGGGGGGTCAATGACCTCGGTCGCGCGACTGCGGTGGAGTCACTGACCTCGGCCGCGCGACCGCGGCGGTGTTACTGACTTCGGTCACGTGATTACGGTATATATATATATATATACATATATGCGTATGTGTGTGTATTATATATAGATATAGAATATTACATTTAATATATAAATTATTCTCTTTTTTACCCTTTTCCTTGTCACGTGTTGTTTTTCCATTTCTCTCTCTCACTATTTTTTGAGTTTGATTTTCATGCGTTATTTCTGACATTTCTCATATGTGTATTGTATGGTTTATAAGACGTATATACTATCTGTCATCGCGGTGACAGGTTGTGTTTACTGACAACACGTTAAATAAAAATAACAACAGCGTGCGCGTAGCGCACGCCTGTGTTGTGTTTTTTTCCTACCAGAAAAAACATTTGCAAATAATCAGAATCGATTCTATCGATCTTGATTGTTGCATCTTTTCCGTATTGCCGATTGGTTGGTTGATCGAGTAGAGTCGAATCGAATCGGTAAGATCGGAGAGTAAATAATGACAAGAAAGCGATTTTGAGACCGTTCGTCGTATACGTGGAGAAAATTAAAAACGTGACTAAAGTCACATGACAGGAAAGAGTAAAAAAAAACAACACGTGACTAAGGTAATTTGCGCAAACGCAAGATATAGATCTCGTAGAATTGACCAATCACGCTGGTCAATTGGCTGATTCGATCAATACGATTGGTCAATTTTACCAGACCTGTTCCTTGCGTTTGCGCTTGCGATCAATGTAGAACAGGCTTAAAGCGCGACCCTAACCTTGTTCCCGAAGTAAACCTTAAGCCCGTTCTACATTGATCGCAAGCGCAAACGCAAGGTATAAATCTCGCAGAATTGACCAATCACGCTGGTCAATTGGCTGATTCGATCAATACGATTGGTCAATTCTACCAGACCTGTTCCTTGCGTTTGCGCTTGCGATCAATGTAGAACAGGCTTTAAGCACCGAGTTTTGAACCCGGCCATTGTAAATTAACTCAATTTTACTTTATTCTTGCGTGTCTGTGATCGCTACATCAAACCAAACAAACCTTCGCGCTTGGATTTTTTCCGTGAGCTTCCGATATTTTCAAGACGATATCGCTCGGATTGCTGCGTTCAAGTTTTGTCACAGATTCGCGTTCCTGCGGTCACATTCTCGTCTAAATCTCCAGTAAATTTCGCTCAAATAAGATGGTAAGCAGGGGTATCGCGTTTTTTGATTCACCTGAGCAAAGTGAAATGTTGATTTCGTTTCTTCCGCCACAATGTGGTACAATTTTTCGCATTTTATGTACTTCAACGTTTCTAATTTTGACAAATTTCTATTTACGCTTTTACACATTAAGAAATAACTCTGTCCGGTAAAGTAATTTGTTATTGAAAACAATTACAATCTCATCATAATCATTCGCTTCTAGTCTCACACAATATTACTGGTACAACCCGGACCCAGACCTGAAACGAGAACATACTCGGATTACGAGAGCGTAAACGACTGTATGGAAGGTAATCTATTTTTTTTTTTTTTTTAATTGATGTTTACATTTGGTGTATGTAAAACAATTTATAATTGTTTTCTGTTTTATGAGCATGGTGTTTCCAAACTAGCGATCAACCAAAAAGCTACTGTTTCTACATGCAATTGTAAGTCAAAATGTACAACAAAGTTTGTTTTACATGAGGCTTTATTTTGAGAGAAATTGAGTTTCGAGAACTAAACTACATCTATATGGTTCTTTCGATGTAAAAAGCATTCGCGAGAAGCAATTCTATAATTTTTCCACTTGTATTTGCATGTAAGATCAGTATCTTTTCCGTTATATCAACAGTTTAATACCTGGGTAATGTCAGTAAAGTAAAAAAAACCAACAAAAGAAAGATTCTCTTGTATCTTGTATCATCTTTTTAAGGAACAAGAAGAGACACGTATTCTATACGTTTGAAACATACTGTGCAAATTTTTCTTTCTCACTGTCTGATGTTCTCACATTGCTTACAAATTTGATTAATTTTACTTTAAAATTTTTTTTATTGCAGGTGTTTGTAAAATTTACGAAGAACACTTGAAGAGACGAAATCCAAATACCCCAACCATTACCTACGACATTACCCAGCTGTTCGATTTTGTCGATCAGTTAACGGATATATCATGTCTCGTATATCAGAAATCGACCAACACGTACGCCCCTTACAACAAGGATTGGATAAAAGAAAAAATATACGTTTTATTGCGCAGAGCAGCGTCCGGGTCAATGAGCGATTAATGAGTAATCAATGTATAAAAAAAGATAGACTCGTATTCTTTCGTACACATAAAAATGTATAAAAATTTATATAAGGTTAAGAACAATTGCGTCGTACTCGGCGTAATAAAACTGATGCTATCTTTGTCTCTGTCTAATATTATAATTGTACTTTACATAATTTTGTATACATCCTATATAGGTTTCTTTTGTCTGTAAAGTATCCCCCCGACCATACCAACACATTCTCGTTATAATTTTGTGGCATTTAATAACTAACACAAGTGGTACTTTTTCAATACCATCTGTATATTTATTAAAATAAACCACTTTTTTTTGTACTTTTCCCTTGTAACATTATTAATAAAGGAAAATTTAATCATTTAAGATAATATCACATTACAATCTTTGTTTTCTCTGGTTAAACATTTTATATAAAAGTATAGAAAATTAAGGGTTTTTTTTTTTTTTTTTTTATAACACACGTAGAATTGTATATTTTATATACACGCAAGTCGTAAATCTTTTATAAATGTACCGCGTTGTGAGGAGGTTGAGATGTTGACTCTGAGTATCAAGCCTCCGCCGTCGTTTGCTCGTCACCTTGCGCATCCGAAGTTTGATTTTCACAACCAGTATCAACGGCAGAAGAATTTTCTTCTTTCTCCGCACTTGGTGCAACAGTGTCAGAGCTTTTTTTATCATCTTCTTCGACCGCTGAACTTGCAGTCTCGTTAGAAGAGATATGCGTGTCCTAAAAATTTGTATAGTTTACTTATAATTGTCTGAGACACACCGGTTATTTAAGCTGCTGTTTGTTTTCGCTCCTAGCAAGTTGTATACACGTGCAAGAATCTCGATGTTGTTTGTGGAAAACAAAATGTTTACCTTGGGTTTATTGCTGTTGCATATTTCAAGCAGATTGTATTTCTTAAACTTGTAATAATAAGGAGCAATAGAAAGCAAGCAAACTCCACGTATCACCTCGACAACCACAGCGATTTCAGGATTTTTCAAATCCGCTTTGTTGCCTGTATTTTTTTGCATAATTATTTCCGCCAAGTCTTCGATAACTTCAATTCTCTTGATGCAATTGTTGCTGTGGCGGCTAGAATATCATCCCGTAAGACGCAAAGTATTTGCTGCTTTTATGTACAAATTTATATACAAACTTGCTTAACTTACTTAAAGACAATGCTGAACGTTTTAGGTTCTTTAGTGAAGTACTTTTCGAACACCAGGCTCGCTTTTGTTTTTATGTCATTTAAGTAAGCCTTGCACACAAGTTCAATTGGAAGCAATCTCAATAAATATCTACTACACTGTTCTTTGGTCGCATCTAAGTGAGTCACAATTTTGGTGACCAGTTCTAGTGGATCTGGTAAAGTGGTTTTTATGAAAATCATATTTTTCACACCCGTATCCACCATCTGTAGAAGAAACACTTAGATAATACTGTTTTTTCCTAAGATAAAATAATATTATTCTAACGAATACTACATTACTCAATTTTTATACTCAAGATTATCTTAAAACGCCGAATGGATTGCTCTATCATGTACCGAGCGTTTGAAAATGAACTCGGGACAATCTCTAAATATAAGATCCAACTACGAATACAAGCTACAATCACTTTGCTATTGTCATTACTTGAAATTTTCGAAAAGACGGTGGTGTTTCATGCAACGTTTTAAGTTGCTTGATTTCTTTTTCCAAACTAGTCGATATATCTTCCTCCTCTTTCTCAGCATCTCCCTCTTCTCCCTCATCTTCCTCCTTCTCGGTATCTTCCTCCTTCTCGGTATCTTCCACATTCTTCTCTGTTCCTTTATCATCGCTTACACTTGTTGACACTTCAGATTCCTTACAATATCAAGGATATAAAATTGTTTACAAATGTTGAATGTATTATTATAGCAAATAGTTATCTTGCAAATATGTGGCACTGTGTGTGTGTACCTTGGATATCTCCGACGTGGTGGATTTCTCATTTGCAAACAAATTGAGCAGTTTGTAGGCATCGGTAACACAGCCCCTCTCGTAGAAGTTGCACGTGCACAAGAACCCGGTCATACCCGGTTCTAGCACAATTTTCTTATGTTTCTTTCGATTGTTCCACTGATTGGTGCTGGTGTTTCTCTTACGTGTATTCATCGGATCGTTCGTCTGCATTGTTTCAATTTTGTGTATTTGTTAATTCGCTTTTATATATAATATATATAAACTTCTTCCACACTTCTCGCACATCGATCGATTACAAAATACATAAACATTCACCCCGCTTTTCTGAAGTTCGTATCGCAATCGCATCAAACCCGCGTCCACAGATTTCAAATTGCGAACGAGACCGAATTTGAATTCAACCAATCGGAATGAGAAAAACCGATCTCGAGTTTACCAACGTTAATTGGTCAATTCCCGCGCGGTGATCGGCGGACGAGAAAAAGTAGCCAATAGCGTTCTCCGAGTTGTCTCTTCACTCTGGACGCGACAGACAGAAACAGATGGACGGTCTTCAGCATCCATCTCTTTCTGAAGATCGACTTACTTCTCCATCCCCCATATCCCTGTCTTTATTTCTCGTATGTTTGTGGTCTTCATCCGGCTCGTTCACTTCCGTTTGAACAGCGCGAACTGGTTGTTTGTTCTCTTTCGTGGAGCTAAGGCCGTATCGGCGACTTACACCGGTTTGAAATTTTCATCCGACTTTGAAATACAAAATCCTACTGCGAGACATGACGACCGAAGCTGAGCTCGCGTGCGTTTATTCCGCACTGATCCTCGTCGACGACGACATCGCCGTGACCGTAGGTATCACCTCACGTGGGTGCCATTAGACACTTTTTTTATTTAGTCAGGATCGTATATATTTTTGTTGAATATATTTTTCACGTATATTTAGCAAATGTGTCGCAATTGTAGCTCGTATATTTAGTTAACAGAAAATTTTTTTTTACAAACAATTATAACAATCAAAGCGGATCTTATACGTGGAATAAAGTTTGTGCAAACTTTGTGTGTAAAATTGAACATAAACAAAAGTAGAACACAATAGAAATATACTACATCTCTTAAATTAGTAACACATCTATTTTACAGGGTGAGAAAATTCAGACAATTCTAAAGGCTGCAAATGTAAACGTCGAGTCTTATTGGCCTGGACTTTTTGCTAAAGCTTTGGAAGGTGTAAATGTCAAAGAATTAATTACCAACATTGGATCCGGAGTTGGAGCAGCACCTGCAGGAGCAGGTAATAAATTTTTTTTTCCTGTTGAAACAATATTACAAACACTTGAGTTTGTTTTTCTGCAAATAAGCATAAAGATATTTGGCTGTATAGCATTTTAAATGGACACTGAAAGAAAGAGACAATTACACAAATGTAAATGTAAAATTATACTTGAAAAAATAACTTTTCATAGTTGAAAGATATTTTTCAAGCTTAAAAGTCCTAAGTTTATCCTCTTCATCCACCGATCTAGCAAAATCCTAGCTAAGTCCGGTCAGCAAAAGAGGAAAACAGAAACAGAAAACAAATTTGTTGGTTGTATCACATAGATACAACCTTGATTTTGTTAGCGACATTACATAAAAGTTATAATATTTAGCTATTAGTATCAATATTGTAGTAATTTATACTTTTGCTTAAAAAACCTGCATATTTTTACTTTACATTTAAACAAATTCTGTGGTATTTTATACAGCTCCAGCTGCTGCGGCGCCTGCCAGTGCTGAGGCCGCTCCAGCTAAGGAAGAGAAAAAGAAGGAGGAACCGGAAGAAGAATCGGACGACGACATGGGCTTCGGTAAGTTATTTTTATCAAGTTTGTGATATATTTTTAATGTCACAAAGATGATGATTAAAACAGACAAACAATTTATACATTCAATAATTAATACGATAATTAATACACATGTACACACGTGTGTTAACTACAGAACTCACATATGAGAGATTAATATTTCACAAATATGAGACTATGATAAAAAGCAAGATACTTCAAGAGTTTAAGAATTTTGAGAGAAAACGAAACAAAATAATTTTTATTTTTAAAAAATATACTTTTGATATATATGTTCCGTTTGAACTAATATTGCGCTATTATGATTTTTTTACAGGTCTATTTGACTAAGCTCAACTATGTTGGTCCATTCCTTTTATGTATGTACAGTTATGTTGTACAATAAAAAATAAAATATTTTGACAGGAGGAATATACACGTTTTCTTTTCTTTTTTAACCATAGAAAAGCCGATCGCAAACAATTTAAGGACAACTTTTGCTTGCTTTGCTGCGCTTTTTATATTCTCTGTTCTATGTTACATATGAGTATAAAACCACAGAGAGCATAAATTCGAGCATATTTGTTGCGATAAACTCTGTGGAAAAGACTAACATGCGCAATAGCGATTTGCAAGAAAGAACCTAATGTTGCGGATGATCTGTCGGTATCTCTTTCATAGTCTAAAGCTTTTTTTTTTTTTTTTATCACTGAGACGGAACAGTCGTCCATCCACCGATCTCTTTCTTTTGGTTCGTCAGTGCCAATAAACACTTTTTTTATGTTGAAAAGTTTAGAAAAAAAAAAAAACCACGAGCGCGACCAACGTGACGGACGTCTTAGGATCTTGCTCGCAACTACCACTCTGTTCCTTTAATCTATCTAACTCTTCAAGTTACTTGTACGTACATGTATCTCAATTTAGCTTTTCAAATCACGAGTATATGATCTTGGCAAAGTAAAATTTATATAGTCTCGCAGCGCTATACATTTTGTTCTCGGTGAAGCGCGTCTACATTTTCCGCAAAACGAAGGTCTAAATTTTTATCGCGAAAACATAGCGGAAGAGTTCGAGCTCTCGAAAGTTTTTGTTTTTTTTTTTTTCTCTTTTTATGTTATAATTTTTCTCGTGCAATTGAAGTGTGCGATTTCGTTTATCCAGAACAACGTATATAACGATACTATCAATAATTTGCTATAATTTACGTTTTTTTTTTTTTTTTAATACTTGAACAAAGCGGTTTTTTTTTTTTTTTTTTTTTAATTTTTCGACTCGCCGTTGTCGGGTTCCGACAGTGGCAACCATTGAGCCGAAGCGCCTTTCCCGGACAATACGCGTTGAAACAATTCTCTCTGACAGGAGTCAGACACCTGACATCTTGCCAAGAGATCGCCGTTCGCGCGCAACACGGAGAATTGCAAGATACACTTGGACAATACGTCGCCACTAACGTCGAAGCTAAGAATGTCGTTCCACACGGGACTGGTGGCCTCGTGCCGCACGCCCGACTTCTTCTTTTTCAAACTCTTGCCGTCCTGTATAAGCGATACCTTTAAACAAAACAATCATTTGTCTAATTACCCTCGTTGTTTGTTTCCATTGCTGCCGCAACTGAAACCGCAATGAATTGCTCTTCTGCTCTCGATTATACAAGTGAATTTCTAGAAATAACTTCTATTTTTTAATATATGACAAGTTTTAGGCATATATTTTCTTCTGACGTCACAAACCACGTCCTGTAAAGAGTGTCTTGAAGAGAATAAATAAGATATTTTACCTTTACATAGGGATTCGCGTTCGCGACGTCGTCGATAACAGGTAAATTTCTCGCTCTGATGACAATGACCGTCAGTTTCTCCGCGCACAGCTGATACGAGATGGATACCATCAGTTCTCCCAGAGGTGGTGCTTTGAAACCGCCCTCCGCTCCGTATCGCAAGACCGGTTTCGTAACGGTTACCATATTCGCACCGAGATCCGTCATGGAAGACAGAGGAAGCTGCACGTATCCCAGACCGCGATGTCTCGTGAACGCGTCGAAATCGTAGAGCAGAATTTCCAACGTTCTACCGAGCAACGATGACGCGGGCGTTACTTCAAACACGAAGTCCTCGTCGAATACTGGAGGAAAGCAGGTCGGACAAACATGTTATTTATTTATTTCACAAATAAATAAATTATATACAACGCGATAAACCAGTGGAAAATGAACATGCACGTATAATATACCGGGATTCAGAGTGCGCCTGTGTATTGTGGTTTGCCACACGTTGTTCCGATCAGGGAGCAAACGTATCTTGGCGTAAGGATCCGCGATTCCGCTCAATTCCCGAGGACGGAGATCGTGCGCCTTCGAAGATGCGAAGAAGAGAATTTTTAATTTATAAATTTAATTTGTTTCGAATTACATTTCTACTGCACGAGATATTATATAGAAACACTACCTCGATAAGCCTCACGGTAAGTATCCCGGCGTTAGCGTCGTAAAGTAATCCCAGTTTTAATTCACCTCTGATTTCGTCGGAAGACGATGTTGATGAAGACGCGGATGAGAGCTACAAAAAAAAAAAAAAATACATTTACATTTAAATGGACGCAATTGTTGCGACAAATTGGCAGATGTGATGTACCTTCTGCCGCGGCGCCGATTCGACCTCGACGTTGTTCAATCTGGAATAAGACCCGTCTATGCTTCGCAGCGGCGGTCTGACTATCACCATGCGTTTCTCAGACGCAACTACCGCGCCTTCCGGAAGAGGCGGTGCGAGTGGACTTATCGGAGACGAAGGAATGTCGTCCGATTCCGAAAAGTGCCGTATGCCTGCCGAGAACAAAAAAAAAAAAAAAAAAACAGACCTTGATCTCAGAGTTTCTTAAACCTTCTTCGATTCATATCGCGTCAAACAAGATCTAAACTTGTCAGAGTGCACATATCTCGTTTTACAATCACACTTTGTTCTTCTCAACAGTGTTTTCAAAATGTATTTACCTCTTCTGGGAGAATCGCTGGCAATGCTATCGAATACATGATCAGATTGCCACTCGTCATCATCTGACTGACTGTCGCTGGTGCGCTTGGAGATTTTATTATCCCGCGAAAGCGCGACACCGACCAAAACATCCTTGGACGATCTCGCTGCCTCTTCCGCTCTGTCCAACAAATCTTTTTCAAACCTACATAGAAGCAGATTACGTTACTTTCGCATCTGTTCTCTCTCACGGTTACAAAAATGTATTCCATCAAAGCCAGGTACAAAAAAAAAAAAAAAAAAAAAAAAAACTTTGACGTGTTTTTGCGCAAATATTTTACAA